ATTCCTATTACAGTTATAAAACTAACTGTATTGTGAATGTTACTACAGAAGTATCCCATCTTGAGTTAAGTTTTCAGGGTTGCCTGGGACAAAGTGCAGAAAAGTATCTGTCCATAAATCATCCAAGAATAATTCTTCAAGAAAGCAGTTACCTACCAAGTTAAAAAAAGGGGGAAAAAAAAAAAGGAAAAAGATTCTCACTATATTTACCAAACATTCAACTACAGATCTTTTTCTTCAGCTATAGCATTTAGTTACATTTCACGTCAACCAATGCTGATCAAAAGGCAGCCTTTTAGTTTTCCTGCTTCAGGATTAAGTTTGCATTTGATAGTGGGCATTTAATCTTTCAGACAGTTTATAGCATCCTGATGATATCATCTTATATGGATGATTAAAGACAGATTTAGTTTTCCAGTCAGGAAAAACATTCAGTCTCAAAGGGAGCTTTAATCAGAATGATTGCTTGCTGTGTTGAAATTATCCCAGCAAACAGCATTGCTGACCTTCCCTCTGCAGGAAATTCAAGCTTCTGTCAATTGGTCAGTCAGGATTACTACCACTGGGACTAAATATGGACTTCCCAGAGCAAAGATATGAGAAAACTTCTCATTTGTGCAAGTAGAATACTGCAGATACCTATGTTTTTGGGTTTGTTTTCCTAAGTTGTCTTTAAAAAATACCTTGGGTAGTTCCAATCACTGTCTGAAGCCACTGCCATCTCTCCTCATATACAACTACTGTATAGGGTTTTTTTCTTTCAGGATCTTTATAAATTAGGCATTGGCCACTGTCAGACTAATGCTTCTGCCTTCTTTCTTCAACTCAATGTCAAATAAAAATAAAAATATAGTCCCCCCCCAAACTATTTCCCCTGAGATAGGCAAGTCTCAACTGAGAATATTTTTCAAACACATAAACCAAGACAGACTTTTTTCCCTTGAAAATTGCCCACTTGAGACAATCTCTTCATTCCAAAAATGTCTTACCTTCTGATTGAAATTCTAAAGTAATCAATAAGAATGCCACAGAATAAGAGACAGAAATGAAGTTGCTCGGAGTTGTAGCTATTCTGGATATCTTTCAATTTTTCTTCATTAAAATTGGAAAATGTTTGCCCCAATTAACATTCAAAACTTTAAATCCCTGAGCTAAAGCAGAAACAAATGAATTGGCATTTAATGCATTCTTCTTTCCACTCTGTATCCTATTTTAAAAGGCTGGTGTTCTGCCACCTGATATTCCAGTGCACAACGACATCATCTCTCCCTTTCTACTTTTCTCCATTTGCAGACTACAGTTCATACCATGGAGCTCTGTGGCTGTGTGGTGGTTTGAGACCCCCAAAAATCCAATTCCTGAGTCCAAGCCTCCCCCACCACACCTTACCCCAGTGTGAGATGGGTTTTCCAGACACAACACAAGACTCCAGGCTTCCAGGACGTCTCGAGCTTTTCAGCTCCTCTCTCCGGTGCTGCTGTATTCCAAGACTCCCCTCAAGTAGGAGTCCGCCCCCTCCTCCTAGGAGAGGTCTCAAAGGGGTTTTGGGGGAGTTTTGATTCAGTTCTTACCCCAAAACTGTCTCTGTTGAGCTTTCTCAGCTCTGTTGCCGGCTCTCTCTCCCTCCTTGCAGGACATCTCTCTGTGTTGCTGCATGCCGTCTTTGCTGCTTGGTTTTTATCTTCTTGGCTTTCGGTCATAGCCTTCCACTCAGTGCTGCCTCTGCTGCCGCTCCTGCTGCCCACTCACAGTGGAGAAAGACTCCCCCAGCTCTTCAGTCACAGGACCCGGTCCAGTTTAACACTGTTTCCGAGTTTCTAGACCCCAGCGGCCGTGGCCCCCAGCGGGGCTCCTGCCCCTTCTCCCCTCATGGTCTCAGAACACGGCCACTTCTTCTCCAACTACATTGTCATCCTTCTTTTCCGGTCTGGTGTGATATGTTTAAATTTTGCAGAGGCACTGATTGGGTCAACATCTTCTGACACCACCCCCTCGGGGGTTACCATTTTTTTGACTCCAGGGGAAAACCACTTTTTTTTCCCCACCACAGGCTGCAACATTTCTGGCCTGAAATAGATTTTGAAAGGCATCCCACTACCTAACACTTTTTTTGAACGCTTTTTGAGTTTCTGAGAAATAGTTTAATGTAAAGCACTGCAGCAAATCATGGCTTGCTCCATTTTTTCATAGGTTCAAGCTGTCAATACTGTTCTCAAAGTTCCTGCATATTTTAGCACTTGCGTCTCCTTCACCACCACAGAAAGAATAGGTCACCAGGAGCTCCAGCAGGTGAGAGTCTCACAAAATGAAATGGAACAATAATCCTACCAGACATCATAGTTGGTATTTATACCAGAATACATAGAGAGGCTTGAAAGTTTTTCTTCTTTTTAAACTGAAATTAATAATAAAGGAACTTATCAGACAAAAGTTTTCCTCCTTTTCAGGAAGCTTTTCAGACTATGACATTGCACCATCTACCTCTAGTCACTGCGTAGAGCTGCTCAATATCATAGAAAAATCACAGGATTTGGACTTAGACCATACTCAAATGGAATAAAATTATTTTATTCCTTCAGAACTCTCACCTAAATTTCATTTAAGCTTGTTAGTATGAAAGTGTACACACACATCCTCAAGCTCTGGCTTCCTATCTTCACTGCAGCCCAGCTGGTATCTCTGCATTTTGCTAAAACCTCCTATCACCCTACTTAATCAGGCACAAAACCAGTCAATTGCTTTCCAGAGAGATCTGAGACCAGTACATCATTTTCTTCCATGTCTTTGCCTATTTTGACACTGAAGTCACAACTATTTCACTATTCCTACTCTTGCAGCACTGTCCCTCTGAGGTTTTCCATTTATTTCTCCAGACTTTCCCCTGATATTTTATGAATTCCTTCTGCCCTTCCATGCTTCACAGAAAAAAAAGCACAGTGCAAAGTTCTCCTTCCTTGTCCTCTCCCTCTTCTTACTGCAGACCAATTCTTTGATAGGCAAGATCAAGAATATGCAGGGTGAGAGAACTTGTCTCCTAAAAATGGATGGAATGCAGTCAGTTAATATCCTCACTTTCTCTTTTGCTTTCAGTGCAATCCAACTGATTCTGGGTTTTTCCCCACAGAAAAACAAGCCTTCTTTCCTCAGCTCTTCTAATGTGGCCTAGATAGTTCCTCTGTAGGTTTGACCCAATATCATCCTCTACCAACAAACCACTAAAGCTAAGAGTAAGTTAAGGAGGATGTAAGACGGACTGGGTATTCAAGCAGTAGGGTAATGCTCCCTCCCTTGAGCCATCCCACAAAAATGCACAGAATTATCTTTGGCACTTACACCCCAGGAGCAGCAGCACTGAATTTGAACTGTTGCCATCCAGGAGCAGCCAAATGCAGCAACCAGGAGCAGTGACACTATGAATGATTCTTGTGCTGAAATGGTTGTTGGTTGATGGTTCATCATGATGTGATACAAGGAAAAAAGGCAGAAAAACTGCTCAATAATGATTCCTGAGATGCGAGAGAGACTCTTATCTTGTTGATTTCCTTTTTTTTTAACAAGCCTGTGATACTTTGTAGGTCAGTTACCAGCATCTTGTAACAACCTACACTCTTTCAAGTTGCACATGTGCTTAAGAGCCAGAAGAAAACACCTAAGAAGCACCTTACAGTTCATGTAAGTTCTGTGTTTAAAAATCATATATTTGACAATGATACCCAGCTTTTACAAGATCAGAAGTACTGCAGACCACTACAGATCCCCCTTGTTCGTTCCAAGAAGGGAAGTTTTCCATATTCTGTAGACCTGAAGATAGTTTGACCTTCCCTGAGTGCCTTGGTGATGTAATAAAGAATTTCACTAGCAAAATATCTAGGGAAGTCCCTCTCCATGTAATCTGTCTTAAGGTTTTCAAGGACTTGGAAAGTTCACATTAACCTCTGGCTAAAAAAATTGTACTACGACACGGGGTGGGGTGGGGGGGGAGGGAGAGGGGAGGAAGAAAAAAATCAATAATCCAAAAATAATTGTGTTCTTCTGAGGGTCTGTCTAACAGACACTTTTGTGCCACTCTTACAGTGTTCAGTGTAATCACACATCATGGAAACTAACAGATTAGTTAACAGATCAAATCACAGAAAACTATCATGCAAAAAGTCAGTCCCCGGAAAGAAACATCAATAAAACTGTACTTGCCAAATGCTCAGACAACAAGCAAAGAAATGTGCTCTTTTACTGCTGGTTGCCAAGCTTGACATTGTCTTTAAAGTTATTAGCATTGTAATAAATCTACATTTTTCAGTTTTGGATCTGCATTTTTCTTACAGCAGTTTATAACAACTTGTATTTCCAAGCTGTTATGTAGCTGTTATATAGCTCCACTATAAATCTTCAAAGCATTTTTTCTAGTTTTTACTGCCTATATTCTCACTGAAGATTATTTTCTTCTAGTTTTGCTTTAGCACACCTTAAGGAGAAGTTAACTGACTCCACCCAGACCACGCTATAAAACATTTAAAAATTGATTATGTTGGATAATTGCTTCTGATTCTTTGGTACCATTGAACGTTAGAAAAAACAATTAAGCTATCCACTAACAATTCTCTACTTAGTCTCTACTACAGGTTGTATCGGTAGTATTTCCCACATTATGAGAGCTGCAAGTGCATATGAGTTAAGCAAACATAACCATGTCTGAGCACATTCATTAGCAAATCACCAAAACAGATAAAATACTAACACATTTTTTACGTTTGAACTCAGCTAGAAAGCCATCAACCTCTCCCTCAGCGTAGCCATACAACTACAGCACTGGACATCAGAAACAAGCACAAAACACTAGTAAATGCGAGGCACGTTTCCTGAAACAAAGTAACAAACCTAAGCATCTATTTCACAGAAGTTCAGGATCCTTCCTTTCAGGTTGTTTTTAAATATTCCTTCGTCTGAAGCTGTATTTTTTTAAACGTCCACTTTCTCCTGCATAGCAAAAAACTCCACAACAATAGCTGTTTATACCACCTTTTTTATTTTTCAGCCAGAAATACATTTTCCTTGGGTATTTCAATAAACAATGGTCTTTATTCCTTAAACAAACCCCCCATCTCTTTGGCATCTGACCGTACTCTGTTTTTCAAACTAAAGACTATATAGGAAGACTTTACTTTCAAGGTCATTGTTTGATACATTAAATTTACACAGGTGTAGTTAACTTTCAAAAATACACTTTTTTTGTAATGTTTCTAACAAACCTAAACAAAAGATAACCCAACCACAAAATGCTCACTACTGGGCTGCCTTCATTTAAAACTGTAGAGTAAGTGACAGAATTAGAACTTTTCATTTTCCATAGCACATGCACTAACTAGTGCTTTCCATTCATTCTGAGTGATAAGCAAACAAACAAAACAAATCTTAATTCTATCAGAAACAACTGATCAAACAATTTACATTTAAAACCAGCATGACATTACTTTTAACTTCTGCAGAGGTCATCAGCCAAAATCAAGTTGCACACTCCTTCAGAGTGCAACACTCCACAGACTGTATCTAAAAAAAAAGTATGAAAACTAGTTTTCGTTTTTAAACATAAGTTATTAAAATGTTTCAAATACATCTAGGAATACAGCTGTCAAAACCTGTGTTAGATGTCATGTTTGGATAAAAATTCATTAAGTAACAAAAGTAAACTGGTGTATTCAATCTACTCTGTTGAATAATCCAGGATTATCTCCTCAATGTTGATACAGAAATACTTCACTTGCACCCTGTCAAATAAAATCAGCCCTCCAGATCTCAAGTGTTCAGTGCTTCAAGTCAACAGAATTTCCAAATCTATGCTGAAGTTATTTGACACCTTCTGCTACTATACATGGTAGAGAAATCATAAATTAAAACCAAAAACATTACTGACATACCAGTGCAAACATTCCAGTTTGTCTCTCAAGACAATGTAAAAATTAAAATCAAGAATAACAAAAAAATCTTCACTCCTCAAAAGATTTGCTTTAAAGAACCCAAATACTCATTCTGAACATGTTTTATAGGAAAGGCAAAGCAATTGCTTCCATGCAGAGATTAAAAAAAAAATAACTGAAGAGGATTCAAGTAGCAAAGGTTTGCTTTATGAGCAAATCTCACCCTCATCACCAGCACAAGCACAGTCTAAAAATGTTTGAACTAGATTGTTTAAATAGAAAGTGATTTATTCAGTCACTTTCCATGCTGTCAAAACCCATTCATTTTCCTATAGAATACAGAAACAAAAAGTAAAACCAAAGAACCTCCTAAATTTGAATACTTATCCAAGAGCAGTTTCTAAGGTCAAGCCAAAATTAGCAACAACCAAGCAGACATCACCAATTTTTCAGTGTTAAATTACTGTAAATAGTAGATCTAGCTGTACAAAAAAAAACAAACCCAAAAATCAAAAGCTTTTTTTTTTTTTTTTAAACGTGTCCAAAGAAATATCCACTGATTGCAGTCAAATTTGCATCAGAAGCTTCTTGCTCAGGAAAGATTTCTCCCTCCAAGTATTTGTAACACATTGCATTGCCAAGACTCTATTCAAATAAATTACTTTCTGGTAATATTTAGCTGATACAACCACCTACAATGTGGACAGTCATGTACACAGTACAACAGTGGATTTTTGCAGCAACAGAGAAAGGATGAGAAATCATTTCTAAGTTCAAGATGACAGCTCATGTGCTATTCCTTGCAAACATACGGTCCCCTCTAAGGGTGAGGTGTTGGAGCTGGTATTGTAGCACTTCTGTGTCAGCAGGTTCCTTAGTGCTCATTTTGTCTAAATTGAGGTAGTCCAGGGATTTTGAATGAACCCTTTTACCTTTCAAAAGGCAGAGAGGCAGGGGACCATGAAGTGCCTTGTAAGGTTCATATGGTAAAGTTTTATTGCATTTATCCCCTGAGCTGGGCATCCGCCTCCTCCTCCTCCCATTTACTGCTGGGATCTCATATGGCTGGTAGTACCTACTTCTCGTTTTGTACAAACGGGAGGAGCGTGCAAGTCCTGGATCCAGCTGCTTGGAGTGCAAGTTTGGCTCCGATTCTCCTTTGTTCTCTTCAGCTCCTGTACATTTCTGGGCTAATTTCAGCAGCTCCTCTCCAGTTGTGAAGCCCACCAGGTAGTTAGAATTCATGTGGAGAATCTGGTATCCTGCAACTGTCCGCCGCATGGGCGAGCAGGGGGTACTGGAACAGCGGGGCTTTTCAGCTTCCGTCCTGCCTGCAGAGCCCACCTCTGCAAGAGGCACAGGGAGAGTGGACAGGGCAGTTCTGGACTCTCCATTTATGTCAACTTCCATTTTAAACACAAGGCTATCCTCCTAAAAAATAAAAAGAGCTTGGTCAGAAAATAGAGCCTTTATGCAACACAGGGAGCTGAGAGAGGATTACAAAAATGGGATTTTGTATCAGCCAGACCAGTACTTCTCTATTCAGCTTTGACTTATGCTCAGCAGGATGTCACACAAGCCACTACCACCTCTAACATGGAAAGATGTGGTCACTATCACAGCAAATATACACCAGTATACTCCAGAAAACGGGAAAGCCTTCTTTTCATTTCTTTGTTTTCAGTATCATCTAAACCATATCAGTGACACAGCTACTTCACAAAACAGAAAGGTCACATTTTTTTCCAAATCCATGCTTTCTTCATTGTCAACCTCACCTCTGCTCTAAACAGAATCTAGTGGCTCTCTAGTCAGTACAGTTCACAAAAAAATTCAGCATAGCTATGTCATGTTCAAAGGCAATGAAACTCAAAGAAGAAAGCAAATTTATTATCCAAGTGTCAAGCAGAAACAATTCTGAAATTCTTTTTACATGACCATAAACCACATTCAAAAGTTCAGTAATGCTTCACAAATGAAACTGACTTAAAACTTGCTATTAACAATTTTTAAACTGCTACTTGCTGCCATTCTGAGGCTTAGGAGGTCACAGGCCAAGTAGCAAAGCAGCAACAAACAAGGAAACACTTTACTCAATCTTCTGCAATTAGATGCAAATATCACTTGGCAAAAGAAAATATTCTACCCTTATGAAAAATTTGTTTCTGTTCAGGGACTGGGAAGGAGCAGTTCAAGTAATGTTCCCAACTCTGCTTCCCTGCTTAGTCTCAAACCAACCTGCTGCCCCCTATGCTAATAAACTAGGAGCAAACAAAATCTCCATAGTTCTGCTGAAGAGGATTTTATTTGCCATTAACAAACTTCTATATGGAGAGACTATTAGTAATGTTCCTTCAGTCTTAAGTGTTCTTTTAATTCTCACAATCGTGGTCTGCTTGAGATTCTTCATTACCAATTTTTGCGTAGCATAACTTTTACAGATACGCTTCATCAGTGAGCTTTTAAGCACTTTTGGGTTGGACTGGATGATCTCCAAAGGTCCCTTCAACTGTAACAACTCTGTAATTCTGTGAATCAAACAATACAGCTAATACAGCAAAAGCTAAATAAAAAATTAAAATATCAAACACTGAAATTTCTCACTGGAAAAAGTCCACATAAAACTCAATAATGTTGCCAATTAAACTTAACTGAATTCAATGTATATTTATGGAGTCAATTAACACTTTCAGAACAGCGGTAGCAGTTGTTGTTTCCTACTGTAGCACCATACCAAGCAATGAGACAACAAATATGATGAGGTTTCAGCCACTGAGTCAAAGACACTAATGGCAATTTCTTAAGTAGAAATTTTGCACCATCAGCAACCATGATTACTGGAGGTACAGCACAAAAATTTCTCATTAAAACTTTCAGCTATCCTATGGATTTAGCCAAGAAGTCCTCAGTATCTGTTCTTGCTTGTTTTTACCCTGCAGTTTAGAAATCTTTCCAGGAACCTTCCACAAAGACTCAACTTGTTCTGTTAAAAGAAACGGAAATTATGCTACAAAAAAGTATAAATAAAATAGTCATACAGCAAGGTTGGAAATTAATCATATTATCTAGTCACACATAAACAGGAAAAACAACAAAAAACCCCCCAAAATTAACAATCACCTGCAACAGCAATAGGTGCCCTAAAGAAAGGGAAGGAGGAAGAAATGTCTTCATGCACTTTTCGAGTTAAAGCCTTGAGAACCTGAAAGCAACACAAAGGTCCTTCTCAGAACACACCTTTCAAAATGCATTTACTTCTGTTTGGAACATGGGGGTGCATGCACTGATAACAGAAAACAACTTCAAAAAATAAGCAAGCAGGAGGGAAGGAGTCAGCAGCTCACTGCCCAACAATTACCCCTCACTGGCCAAACCCACTACAAACCAAACTCAGAGCAGAGAAGCCTTCAAGAGAGAAAGCTCCAGTCTGTTCTTCAGCCTGGAACTGCAGAACTCCCGTTTCTGTGCTCCAGTTTGAAGAACAGCCCTAAAACCAAGAAATCTGTCAGACACTCAAAAGCATCAGTAGCACCAGAAGCTGGAGCCATAGACATGAAAAGCTCAAGGGAACAGTACTACTGGCTGGTGACAGGAATGACTGGCCAGTCCCACAGGCAGAGGTCCAAAACTCAGTATGTAGGTGCTCAGTTGTTCTTTCCCAAGACTTTTAAATTTGAGTTACTCAAGCTGCCATATGGCTTCAACATGCTTATCAGGCAAAAAAACCATTTCTACAGTTATAAAGCACTTGCTGACTTCTGTTATGTTCACTGGTGTTTAGTAGTGTAAGCTCATCAGTAATTCTCAACAGCAACTACAATACTGGAAAAGACAGTACTTCAGTTTAAAAAGATTATTTCTTCAGATTGCAGCTGGTTTGTCTTCTTGTTTGTCAAAGAGAATAACAGAGTGATGTCAATTCAAGGTAATTCATAATTAGAGATTTATTACTGAATCAAAGCAAAGAGAAGAGGAACAAGATGGCATATCCTCTCCTTTGCTGCTTCTCCATATATTTAAAAAACACAGAAAATAACTAAAAATAACAGTTACCAAGAGGATTCACTCGACCAATACACGCCAGAAGTGCTTCCAGAATACAATTCACTCCAGTAAAATTTTACAAGGTTTTATCAATTCTCTTTGTAATATAAAGCAAGCTCTGCATAAAAATTAATCTGGTACAATCCAGCTAAATAAGGATAATGTTGTCTAAAACACAGAGCCAAGAAACAGTGAAGGGAAATCCTAGATCAAATACTATAAATCACTGTATCACCTCAAAGAATACATTAATATGCTTGGGATAGTTCTTTGAGGTTAAAACCCTCAAAATCGCCACATTTTGCAAATACGAAGGCTTTCTGATTATTGAATTACTGAAACAAAGGTGTCAGATACCACTTACGCCATTCCCACAGCATGGCACAAACAAAAACCAGGCATCTATGACACATTAATGCCTGACATCACACCACGCTATAATATATGCATTGTAAATCATTTGTTGTTGAAATGCATTCTCACCATGTGCCTCACTGCACTCAATAACATCTTCTGTTTGGGTTATTTTTTCTGTTACATTTATTACCTACTGTCTTTCTGAGGAGAGAAATGTGACTTAAAAATATAAACTTTTTACTCAGAATTTAAAGACAAAGAAAGATGAAGAGGTGTCTCTCCCTTGACACTCCCATGCTCTGTAAAAATTTTGCATTATTTTGAAACTACCATCTTCAACTGCTCTCAACAAAATAACTGCTTCCTTGTAACTTGGCATTTCTTGTTACTTATCTCCTCACCTAGACTCCGAATTGATTTGAGAAGATGCCCTTTTTTGGTTTAGATAAGCACTGAATTTCTGTCCATCCAGCAAGCAGATTTTACTTTTTCTTAAGAATCAATCTTTTATTTCCCCCTAGAGTTGCCTGTAGGCAACAATATTTGTTAAGAACCACTGAGATCTAATTGATAAAATGGCTGTAATTGCAACAAGCAAACGGCAGAATGGAGATGGCAACAGATTCAGTGATACCAACTCTGTAAAGGAGTCAAACATACTGAATAGAGATATAAGGCCAGTTTTGACTTTCCCTTCTCTATGCTGCTATTACTCAATATATACATCGCACTTAAAAGATATAATGTTTGTCTATCAAGCGTCAGGAGTAAGTGAAGTCACCCATCATGTGTGAAGAACATGTGAACTCAGTCACACACTTTTAATCATTTCAATTGTCTCTGTGAAGGGCAAAAAACAAGGCCTACATCTTTCCCCCGGCAGTCTGAAAAAAAATCACCTACATATAGTATGTGCTCTTGTTTCTCTGTCACTGAAATGTGCTGATGGAGTTACATATTTGTACAGCAAAATTTTCTGAAAATAATTATTTCCAACCTGCAACTAAATGAACTGAAGTATTTGGGTGAAATGGAAAAAAAAGATCAAGCTAAAACCCAGCTACGTAAGAGCATCCACAAAGGGGCCACATTTATTTTTCTAAAGCTGGGCCAGCAAGGCCACGGACCTTGAGATGTGTCAGCTCCCAGGCTGACAGGGCAAGTTGGTGATATTGTTGCCCACTCTTCCAGAGAAAGATGCTTGGTTTTAGTCATCCTCTTTACCTTCTGCTGAAGGGACTTAGACTGCTATGTTGCTTCACAGCGCTTTGTTTTACAGACTGATACCATGTTTGTAGAGACATGAGTTAAAAAAAAAAAATAAATCACAGAGAACAAGCAAGAAAGGGATGACTAAAATACACACATTCTTCGACAGCTCTTTCTCTTAGAAGAAATTCCAAAGTGCTATAAGCTAAAGAGAACCGAGGTAATATTAAATTGTAGCACTGCATAAGACAACATTCAAATGGAGTAAGAACTAAGTTTAGGACAGATTTCCTTCCTCAAAATCACAAGCAAGAAAATTAAATCATGCATAAGGCATATGTTATAATTCTACAGGCCTTAAAAAAACAGACGAATGGATGTTACTGACTTAATAAAGCCAGTGCAGTAACTGCAGAATGTGATGTAAAACAAAAGCCCACAAAACAACCAGTAAAATGGGGTGGGGTGATAGGGGAGTTTTGGAGGGGGGTGATCTTGTCAACAGGTAAAGTGTTAAGCCATTCAGCTCTCCAGTATACTAGACAATAAATACCACATGGTTGACACAGAACTAGGAATTATAACATATTTTCAAAAAGAAGATTACATGAATTTCTAACAATTTGTTCCTACTCTGAGTACCAAGAACTATTTAACCAGTTTGTTAATTCTTGTTATTAATGTAGCTTTACACAGAAAACAATTATGACCCAGGAAACTACCTTTTCAAATTAAGGAGGATCATAAGTGCATTACTGAGGAACTACAATTAGCAACTCCAGTGACTAGCTCAGACCAGACCAGCATGGCAGAGCACACAATTTACACAAAAGAGAGACAGATGGAATGTCAAGAGTCTGACTGGGCTAATGAATTTTGTATGAGCAGACTTAGGAAGCAGGAAAAGTAAAAGCAAATGGTGGGAAAGAAGGCCACTTTAACATCCCTTTGCCAAGCAATACTAGATGGAAGTGTTTAACAGAGGATAACTTCTCTCAAATATTTAGTCTTTCATACGAACAATGGGACTTTCTTGCTGGATGGAATCACAGATGAACACTCACTCTGTCAGCAAAATGATGCTCCTGGCCAGCATAAAGGTGGTTGTTTACCATTGTTACTCATCAAAAGATGAAACAGTGAGATACATGTAAAGAAGCTGATGCATATTGTAAAATATAGTTTTTATTCTTTAGCTAGCTAGTAAGTAAGAGAGAGTTTTCCTTGTAATTGCATTTCTATTTCTCTGTATTTCCTGTCTCCATTTCTTCATCAATCAATCAATATATAAGTTTCATTTTGAAAGTTCTCTCTAGTTTCAGGTTAGACCACTTAGAAAAAAAACCCGAACAACCTGACTTGTCAACAAAAAACTAAACTGCCTGTCAGAAATAATAGATAGGAAACAAAACAGAACAAAAAAAGCAGAGTATTTAAAGTATTACAGATTTCACTGCATAAATACTTATTTTTGTCTTTAAAAAACAAGATGCTAATGGGACTAAAGATCTGCATTGTTTTTGTGTCAGATAAGAAATTCATGTTGGGGAGTATTCTCTATTGCCAAGTCTCAAAATACAGCTCTGTGATATTTTTTTGAAACTACCAACCTAAACAACCATACTAAGCCCTTTGAGACTCAGAACAGCTAATCAAATAAATACACTTTAAAAATAAGACCTACTCAAAGATATCAAGAAAAACATGTTTAATCTATGCAATTTAGTTTTCTGAGTTTTATTTTTTAACAGAAGCACTTCAAACTGCTAGTTCTTTGTCTTAACTTGATACAATCTGCAGCAGATACTTAGATATTTGTTGGGAGGGTGTATAATTCACTTATACTATCACACCACTAAAGGTCACTTCCTCCAGTTCAGGAGAGTTACATATACAAAGGCTTTAAAGTTGTCTGCCTACTTCTCAAATGCTCCTTCCCTATCGAAATGCTACCTAAGAGTAAATATTTAAGTAATGCAAGTATGGAATAATAATTATTAAAAGTCCAACAGCACATGAAGGCACAGTAAATTTCTATTAAACTTACAACTAGTGTGAACAGAAATCTTTGTCCCAGAACACTGAGTTCATCTGACTTTGCCATAACACACTGCATTTGCATGTGATAATACATGCCTGGTGGCCAGACCAGCAGCATAAGGCTAGTCAAAGAAAAGATTATGGAGAAAGCCACGCTATAACATCAGTGCTGTTATGCAAGAACTTAATTTCAGTGATTGCACTGCCACTGCCTCATTTCTCTCCGCTTCACAGCCACTACAAGAACCGCCCTCCTCCATCTTCATTATTCTAAAAAAGGCTCTCCCTCAAGGGGGAAAAAAAAATAAAATTAAGCAAGCACACCACGTCACACAGAATATGGTTCAAAATACACCAACAGCAGGAGGGTGGTGGTGGGAGGAGCAGCTTTCTGCCATCGATTCATTTCTGCAGGCAGCTATGTCAGCACATATGTATGGGTGTGCATGACACACTGGCCTACTCTGGAGAACACCCTGACAAAGACATGTTCATGGGAAACATCTGCTAAGGTACCTAATTTCCTACTTTCCTTATAATAGCTACATACACACATTGGTGCCAGATAAACCCCTATGTAAAACAGCATATAAATAACATATATAAACAATTAAGACCTGCTGTAGACCATTCAAAACAGCACCTCAACTGTACAGAGACACTCCTCCAATATCTTAATATGCAGAGACAGCATTGGCAAAACATGCCTACAACGAACCAAAGCAGCTGAGCAAGTTCCATACTCTGTAAAGCAACTCTTCAATGCACCTGAGAGCGCACAAGGGCAGTCAGCGAGCATCACAGGCAGCACAGTGAACATTTAAACACAACTCCCAGCCTCTCTTTACTCTTCACTAAGCAAGACTTATTACAGAGAAATACAGTTACACATAGAAAGCTGGGCACTAGTGCATTTTGTTATTAGTGAGGTCATATTCAAGTTTATCACTTGCCTGAGCATGGGGACTGCCCGTGGCAATAAGTTGCAATTGAAGAGATGTATAAATGGTTATGTATACTAAAAACATATATATAAATACATATATATACTAACACTAGATACAGGTGCTAACAGGTGAACTCTGCGGCTTTCCCACCGCTCACACCGCTACTCCTGGCTGGTAGAGAAAGCGCCCTGGAGAGGCCTCCCCGTAGGCTCCAGGCCCTGCACACACGGCACTCCCTGCACACACACGGCGGCCGGGACCAGCGCCCCGGTGTCCTCCCGGTGTCCTGCCCTGCTCCTCCTGCTGGCCCAGCCCCGCCGCGCCCGGGGCCGCGATCCCCGGCTCTGCCCCGGCCCCGCCGCCCGGGGCGGCCCCGCCGCGGCTCTGAGGGCACAGAGGCGCCAGGGCCGCCGCCCGCTGGAGGCCCAGGCCGTGCCGAGCGGCTCCCCCCGATCGGGGACGGCATCCCCGCGGCTCCCCGGCGGGCCCACCCCGCACCGCGCCCGCCCTGCGGCACCTCCCTGGGCCCGGGCCCAGTCGCCGACCCCGCTCCAGGAGCCGCGGGCAGGGCCCGGGGCTCCATCCCCTCCCGCCCGCTCCTACCTGCGGCCGGCGCGCGGGGCCCGGGCGGAGGAGCGGCCGGGGCGGCGAGCAGGGACCCCGCTTCCCCCGGGCCCGCCCGGCGCGGGCTGAGGGCGGAGCGGCCGGGACACGCCGCGGAGCCGCCGCCGCGCGCCGCCCCCCCTTCCCCGCCCTCCCCGGCCGCAGCCGGCTCCTGCTCTCATCCCACCTGTGCTGATACTCCCTAGCAAGCTTTAGCGTCGCATGCCATTTCTCTTCGTACACGACTGTGAGGATGGATTGAGTAACCATCTCTCGAGTAGCCATCTCTTGCTGACTCGCTCTTCCCTGAAATACCGCCCGTCTTCACCGATAACCTCTGCGGTATCTCATGCGCACAAAGTTTGGACACGGTTTATGTGTGACTAGGTAATATGAGTAACTGGATGTTGCCCATGCAGAGGCCATGCTCTGTCCTCCCTCTGATCCCAGTGGTCCTGCCAAGAGGGTTGCAGGTCATTTGGTCTTCAATTGCAGAGAAGGGTGTTGGCATTCCCTATGCACCCAGACTAGCCAATCATTGTGCACCCAGATGCTCCTGGAATTTGTGTTTGTTGGAAATTCTCACCTAGGACAAGCAATGGAGTACATGAAGAACAAGGTCTTTGTACAGAATTTTAATTAAAGGCTCTGCAAGCCCTTAAGAGTCACTGAGTTTGTGAGTTCACAAAACTGCTCTAAGAACTAAATTAGTAAATTCAGTACAGAATATGGAGAATATATCTGGTGAAGCAGCAGTGTAAGAACCCACACAGAGATTAGCTCAATTGGTTGGAGCATGGTGCTAATAATGCCAAAGTTACGGGTTTGATTCATGTACAGGGCATTCACTTAGGAGTTGCACTTGATGATCCTTGTGGATTCTTTCCAACTCAGAATATTCTCTGAAAATGAAGCTGGAGTATAATTCAGAGGCATTATGATGCTCTGTGTTGCTTACAGTACATAAACTCCTTTGGTTCATGTTGACATCTGCAGTACCAGCCTGAGCCAGAAATCCCACCTATGTTGTTCTGTGGTATAAATGAGGCTATAAACTCTTATGAATCAGTATATCCCAACTTTCCCCCCAAAGAACTTCCTCCCAACAACTTCCCCCTCTTGCTGTCTATGAGTTGTCAGTTAGGTTCAGAGATGAAGTTCCAAGGAGAGGGCAGGCAGTAGTGGTCATTGACTTCAGGAGGCAACAAATGCTTGGGGGTGGTCATAATATGTTCTGGCTGCGTGTAAAAGAAAGAATGCTTTACAGACTAGCAGTCCTGTGCATCCTCCCCCTGCCTCAATCAGATAGATTATTATTTAATTAGCTGTAATATTTAATAACATTAATCATACTGACAGAATTAACCTGATGTAAAATTCTTAAATTTCTAGATATCAAAAGAAAAGCAGATCCTGACAACTTCTCCTAAGGACAGTTTTCACATTCCACACCAAATATTTGAAAATAAAACCTACAGCTTCCTAAATCCCTAAATTCCTAAATCATTTTCAAAGTTCTGCATTTTCCATGCAACCAGGATTTTCCCCAGACTGACTACTGTATTTCAATGCTTTTTTTGCAATGTTTTTTCAAATCATTCAAGATTTTGTATGAAGAACAGAGATATTTTGAGGAGCTTGGGCTTTGTTTTCCCACCTAAGATCTTAACACTTTTTAGTGCCACTGCAACCGTGGCACAACAAAACAGACCATTACAGACCATTTTCTCTGCATGGTCACCCTGGCCAGAACACGAAGTAACCTACATCTCACAGTGGCTGTGCTCATCAGTAGCTTCTCAGATCAGTGACAGTCAATTGGAATAATATTATGTCCTAGTTAGGACAGCTGAGACCAGTTCATCACTGGATGGGTGTAACCCAAAACTGTGTATTCTATAGCCTTCCATGCCATTTCCCAAAAACCATTTACACCATCTGCACATAGAGCCTGACTCCTCAGGCTATAAACTGGGTGCTAAGAGGCCTGCGAGATGGGAGTTGCTCTTGTCCTCACACCCATTAAGGAACCCCCCGCCCTGAGGGAGGTACTGAGCATCCCTGCCTGAACTGGAGAATATATAATCTTGGAGTCTTGGGACCTTCTTAACCACTCGTGGGATCCAGAGGAAGACTGCAGATCACCGCTCTCAACCAGACTGCAGACCACACCACTCTCGACTGGACTGCAACCACCACTTTTCAACCAGACTGCAACCATCACTCTGGACCAGACTGCAACAGCACTCTCACCGACAGCACTATCATTCAGTGACTGAATGATAGGCAGTCACTGGTTGACTGCCTATCATTCCAGTCAACCAGTCACCATTGGTTGACTGGAATGATAGGCATATTTAAATTTTAACTTTTTTTTTTTTTAATGGTAAACAAGTGTACATTCAGTTGTGTGCAAGACCAACACTGTCAATAACACAATTACACTACAGAAAATGAAAAGGAGAGGTTTTCCCCTCTCCTTTTCCTTTGGACTCAGGGGGCCCAAAGAACACTACTCTGTTCATGCCCCAGGGTGCTGGGTTATATATTTGGGCTTTGTGGGTTAAAACCAATTGTTTGTCTGTATAATCGTACTTATTGTATTATTTTATTAAATTGTTATTCTGACTTGTGGTCTCTCTTTTGAGTTGAGTTCATTTCCCCTGCTGGTTTGCCTTTAAAACAGCACACATTACAATGCCATATGGAAAACATAATATTAAAGGTAAAACACATAGAAAAAGGGCTCAATTTCTATTATTCTCTGCAGGTTCTTCCTTATTTATTACCGTAAGAGAGCTTTTATCAAAAGGCTTTTTTCCCTTGCTATTCCTGTATTTTAGGTTTGTTTACTGGAAACTGCTATGGTGTTTTGAGCATTAGTGAAGTTATTAAATCATAAGGGCTGAAAGCTGAGCAATTTAGAGAATATTTACTCAGTGTGTTTCTTTGGTTCTTTGCACATGGATTTTATTCCAAAGACTAATGAGACAAACATTTTTTATTAAATATTCACTTACCCTTATGAAGAATTGTAGCCATTATTTTGAAAATCTGAATTTTGCGGGAAATCCATAACCATGCGTGGCATAGTGACAAACAACTTTTTAATTCAGCCTATTTTTATTTTTTCTAAGTAAGTACACTTTAGAACTGGTTTTGTATTAAAACAGAATTTAAGTTTCTTGAAAGGTCTTCCACCTCTTTTATGATATGGATGTTCTCTGTATTCATTGCATGCTCCTCCTCCTAGGCCCACATTTGATGGCATTCACACACTTACACATTCCTTTATTTATAGATAAAATAGTTGGTTTATTTTTTTATTCAACATCTGTTTTTCACAGTAATGCACTCTAGACTGCTTTGTTATTACACCACTTTCTGTATTTCAGAGCACAAGATGTTTGTTTTTAAGGGCTAAGTGAAGGAGTCAAGAAATCAGTATTTGAAAACACTCAGTAAAATTTGTCCTCTTCATAAAACCAAGTAAAATTAAAATCATTATTTAAAAATAAAAATAAAAGAAAACATAAACAACCACTAGAAAGTACATGTTTTTTCTTTCACTGTTTTTTGCAGAATTGGCTTTCTGAAAAAGTTTTTGCATTTTTTGTTTTAGCAAATTACTTGTGGGTCTGTCAACAATGTAATTGCTGTAAACTGATAAAGAAAAAATACAAGAAAAACAAAGGAATATTATGCTTCCCTCTGTGCTGGATGACAGAAAACAGTGTTAAATCCCTACATTCTGCCACTTGTCTATGGCACTGAAATGGCTATTAGAAATCTTTGTTACATCTCTTCTGCAATCTTCCTTTGAACTCTGGTTTTGATGCTATTGTTCAGTGTATGATCATAATTTTTGATATATCATTATATAAGGATATGTATGATAATTATTTTTTGTATGCGCACCTGCCTAGCCTTGTTTATATGGATTTTTACACAGCTGAACTTTGAAAGAACATCTGCTTTTCCTTAAAAATTTTACTTGGCTGGATAATTACATAACTGAAATTTATGTCTTTATTATAATAAAGAAACATAAAACAAGAATTAAAAGTAATTTTAGGAGCTTTCACAAACATTTCTGTGGTTTGGTTTATTTGGTAATGCTGCTTCTTAAAGAAATGCTAAATGATTACTTAAACTATATTGCAGTGGCAGTATTTTGGGAGTTACAAGCATATTCAACCACTGGTTTTCTGTAAGCATATTCTTTGACCACTGTCAAATCTGGCTGGAATAGGATGTAGAGCTCAAAAAGTTTAATGTGAGGCAGTGCAACTACATAAAGGAACTGGTCTAAAAACACATTGAAATCTGCTGAGTCCATGTTCTGCCCTATTTTAAGTGCACCACTACGAAGTAGAAGAGCCCTCCCTCCCTGTGGTTCTGTGTTTGATGTTACCATTCTGGAACATGAAGACATCCTGCAGAATGTTGGACTACTGTTTAGCTATTTAAGGATTGATTTCATCATAAAATGATATTGTCATTTCTGAGTCACGTCCTTTACCACCAAGAGAAATTTTGGCTTATTTGTAAATTAATGGCTTATCTGCAAATTGTTTTCCACTGAGACTACTGCATCAACTACCCACTATATTTCACAGCACTTTAAAAAAAACCACAATGGAGAGAAGTTGCCAGTGACCTTGTTTTTTTATTCAGGAGCACATAAAAAAACTTATGCCACAGCTTTGGTTGACTGGAATGATAGGCATACTTAAATTTTAACTTTTTTTTTTTTTAATGGTAAACAAGTGTACATTCAGTTGTGTGCAAGACGAACACTGTCAATAACACAATTACACTACAGAAAATGAAATGTTTGAAGTATATAGCTGTGAAAACCTTCATATTTTTGGTAATTAACCAGCATTGTTAGCATTAGTCTGCAGAAGCCATTACACATATGGTAAACACTGAAAACAGACCCTGTGGCAAAGTGAATGTAATTATAGTTGCACTGGCTCTGGAGAAAAGGAAGAGCCCTACTTAAACATATTACTCATAAGCTATGTCTTCTGCAACTTAAACATGAAAGAATTACCTAACTCATAGTTCTTACTACTCAGCCACTTGAACTTAAAAAAGTGGACAGTAGTTTCGTACATTTGGGATAATTACAATTCAGTAATTTTTCATGCCACAGAAAGAGTTGCTTAGACTGGATGATTATTCTATATAACCCCATAACTCCATGTTCCACTTCTAACATCTCTTATAAAATCTTTTTTTTTTTTTTTTTAATGAGATCTGCTCTCAACCACCTAGACTGGAAGAAGAGAGGTATGAAAATCCCCAGGCAGTGATGAATCCTGAGTATTTTACAACAGTTTGCACTGATTTCTGGTAGTCCAAAGCCTCTCTCTACTCTGAAGGGATGACAATAAAGCATAGATGGAATATTTACAATTTTTAGAATAAACCTACCAGCATAACAACTGTAGCCATTTCTCATTCTACAAAATCTGCTTTTTAATATCACCTTTTTGTAGAAACATATGGCAAAGAACATAAAACTGTCTTTTTTAGTAAACAAAAGAAGGTTTTGATAAAAGCACATAGAAGACAGTTTTATCTGCTGGATGATGAGGTACAGGTACCCGTATACAAACATGTATACTAAATAATAAAAAGAGAAGGTGTATTTGAATGTTACAGGTCTGACGTAAACACAGAAAAAAAATGAGAGTAGTCAAAAGTGCTGATACATTAACTCACTCCATCATGCCTAATTATTGCAGCATATATGATATAAAATAATTAAAATGCAGAAATATCTGCTTGCCTTCAAACCAGGCAGAAGAGATATCTTTGGAAATGTAGTTAAATTAAAAAAAGGTCAAGATGTGTGTTACATTTCAGCCTACAGAAGAAATTCACAGATTTTAAAGTCCTGAATATAGAAGTTTATGATGACAACAGAAAATGCATTACAGTGACGTAAACAGAGCCACTGTAGCACATACCACTTTCTTTTTGTACAGGTTTACAGTAGATATTTAAAGACACAGAAAAAGTTCATGTGCAGCTTTTCCATTAAAGGTGTGCAGTTCATCAAACTGATAAATATATTTCCTGAAATAATTTAGAGAATGAGAAAAGACACTTGATCTAAACATGTAGTGTGCACACTAGTTAACCACAAATAAACTTAAGATTCTTAAGTGCACTATGAGCTGCAGACATGAATGGCTTTTAAAAGCTCAGTAAGTTAGCTGAACTCACACTAAAGTGAACATTTAAGAAGTTGTTTCCAGTTTTGTCTGATCATTTCTTCTCGGAAAGAGTCTCACCACCAAGTTCTACCTCTAGTGAGGCCTCTTCAAGAGATAGCTTAACATCAGATGCATTAACAGGAGATCCAGGGGTAGCTGTGCAGACAGAGAGGAAAAAAAAGCACCAGGTTTTATGTTTAATATTCATGCTAAAAAGCATCAAAAGCAACAAAAATGTGTATTACCTAGCACAGAAACACAAACAAGCTGCATTAGCTAATTAAATCAGAAACCCACATGGAATTCTCTAAATAGCACAACCAAAAGCAGATAGTATAGCTGGCCAACAGTTCAGACTAAACATACTAATGATTGAATGCATTATTGTGTTATTGGCAGCTTCAGTCAGTACCTGGTTACAGAGCTCTTCAGTAAATGTTCAGAAAACATTCTAGAAATTCTGCCATTTAAATAAATAAATTCCTTTGTTTTACTTGGAGATAGTTGGAAATGATGTCTACTTCAAAACAAAACCCCATGAATTTTCAGCCCAAAGAAACTGAAACAATTTAGAGGATAAGGGAAAGTAAGTAATAACAGTTTTACTGCTAAAACTATTTGTGCAATGCTATTGAGTTCTTGCTGATCCACAAAATGATCCCACTTACACAGACAGGGAATCTTAAGAAATAGCTGCCCTACAAAATCATTCTGGAAAGAATCAAGGTAGTCATTCTGCCTCTGACAGAGGTTACTTACATAAGGTTGGTTTCTCTATTGCTAGCCTTTCAGGCAAAGTTTCAAGTGGAGTTGGTTGAATTTTTGCAGGGGTATATGTATTTAAAGAAATTTTTCTTCCTGAAAGTGGCATCATGTAAGTTGGAGAAGCTGAAATGGTGAGAAAAAAAGAATATACACATCATTTAACAACAAAAATACTCTCATCCAAGCCAAACATCAAAAGCAGCAGCCATAGGACTGTGTATCTGTCCAGAGAAAGACACCACCATCACACAGCTCAGCTGCCCATTTTTGACTATGGTGTCAAAATTTCACAACAGTGAAAGACAAATCTAAAAATCTCCCTTTTATTGAAGAAAGCAACACAATGAGTTCATGCTGCTAAGGAAGCTAAGCTGAATTTCAGTAACACTGGCCTTGCCAGAAGATTAGTGAAAGCATTAGTGCTACTTCTCATAGGTTATGAAAATTGCATCTGAGTAGGCATTTAGTCCAAAATGTCTGTGAAAAATGCACACAAAACATTTATCTCCAGACAACCTCTAAGTAGCACAGGAAAACAGCTGGAGAGCCAAGAACGTATGTATCAGGTCTAATTTCCAACCACTCCGCTGTAGAAAGGTGACAACCATATGTTAGGAGTGTGACCAGGGTTTTTTAAAGTATTTTTTCATCTTGTGTATTGTCAACTCTGAACAGATTTTGATGACAAACTTCCTCACCAGCATAACAAGGCATTTTGCATAGCTGAGAATTTTCATATACTTCATATACAGTAGCATCAGTTTTCTTAAATTGCTCATCTTCTTTCTCAGATACAGATGGCCTATTCTATCAGTTTAGCTACTGATTAAAACTAAACCGCATAAAATAACAGGAAGAAAAAGGAAAAATCCTATAACAGAAAAAAGAAAAATCCTAACAGGTTTTGTATCAGTACTTGTTTCTGCGTATAAGTTTTCTGATCAAAACATGAGTCTTTAGACACTTCCTCAAGAAGAATGATTTTCAATCACCTGACACATTGATTATAAGCATCCTAATATGGAGATGACCTAAATCTGACCTAATTTAAACCATTTCCAAAGACACAGCAGCAGAATCACAATGGGAAGTCATCTTCCCAGAGATGTGCACATGGATAGAACTTAGTTGTATTTCATTTCAAGCTCATTTAAACTTCAAACATGCAGAACAAGCTACCAAAAAGTTCAGTAACTACAAGGCTCTCTACAGGTGAAACCCCAAGTAATATTAAAAGAAACAGGAAATAACACATTTTTAAGTGTAAATGCAACACTCCTCTGCTGTGGTTACTGCCAGTACAACAGCACAGTATAAAGCTGGAAATACTGCATGCTCACTAAAAAGTATGACCTGTGACTCAGCTGACAGTGTGGACAGAACAAAGGAGTCAATGTAACAGTAAGGGAAATAAACCCGCTACGATTGCATTAAATCCTTAATTTAATACCCCAACAATGTCTCAACAGAGACGTTACTACAATGAATTATGACAGTATCCATACCCACAAAAGGATACTGCAAAATTTAGAATTATAGATATGTACATTTTCATTTTCTTTAAAAGCAGCATCCTTAGTTTAATTGTTAGCTGTAAAACACTGCAAAAATTAGACAGTATTTAAGAATTTAAAATTAACATAAATACAAACTAAAACCAGTACATGTCTCCTGTAGATTTTCCCTTGATGGAGCAGCAACAGAGGCAAGAAATTCATCCACCTGCTTCAGAGACAAGGAATTATGTAGAGTTTCCAAAGGGCAAATAGAAGGCACCATGGAATACAGTTCAAAACCTAAAAGAAAAATAATAAAAAAGAGAGATTTCCAAACATAAGACAGGATTTAAGCTCTTGCATATACAAGTATTAATGCATGATAAAAAGTATTTATTTTACATTTGCACATGCAGATAGGACCCTTGAAATCATGGAAATTAAATATCACAGGAGTTGGAACAAAATGGGCCAGTTTCCAGGGTGCACTAAACTAAAGACACCATGTAACATACCATGGGATACAAATCCCCTGTACACATGAAGTACATGTGTACACACAAACTATTCAAACATTAGAACTGTGCTCTACTCCCAAATTAGTTAATGAAAGATAATTTTCCTTGAAGACAAACTCAGTAGATCACTACAAAAAAAAGGAAAAGATAGTATTTCTCCTACTCATTCTCATACCTGGCACATGACTAAATAGATAGATAACTCATTCATGCAAGAAAATAGGATATAGCTATTTTGTCAACTGAGCAGACAAGAGCTAAAAATGCTACATCTTCCAAGAAAGAAATTTGCAGAATTCACGTTCTATCATCTTCAGTATTCTGTGAAAATAAACTGTTGCCTTTAATATCAAAGGAAAACCACTGTTAGCATTTTTGTACCTTGAGATTACATGTTTTTACCTTCTAAGAGAGATTTACACCTACCTTTATGCATTTAAAAACAGTACTTAGAAGACTAGAGGTTTCATATATTAGAAGAGGTAAGTAAAGCAACTCAAAAATCTAAAAATTTATTGGACTTTGCTTTTCTATGTTAGTATTGATCATACACTAACCATGCATATCCATATTACTAGCAGACTAAAAAGCATTTCAACATCTTGGCTAAAAAAAATTTGCAGTTCTATAAAGTGATGCAAGTTTGATAACTCAATGAACAGCTCTTCATCCAATTGCATTTCAGAAGAGGAAAATATGTCCATTAGTGTTTTCAACATTCAGCTGTAATGCTACAACTTTGCAATTCAATACAGTAAATTTATTTTAAGTAAATGAAGAAGCAATAGTGAATGAAATAATGTTTAGAATTTCAGTTCAAGGCACATTTATCAGAGATAGCATTACGACTGTGAACTGTTCTTTCCCATAAAATAATAAGCAACAATATTCCTGTGATATGCAATGTTCCCCATTCATTCCCCATTAGTGCTTCGCATAGAGAAGTAATTCAACAAGGTTTCAACCCCAAAATGTCTGTATGTATATCTTTATTTTTAGATCCACCCTGGCCAATACTCAAATTTCCAGGACAATTGCTACAAATATACAATCAACTGAAGTGTACTCATGTTAGCTTCATTTAGATTATAAACAAAATGTTGCATTTCATAAAAACTTGGTTTCTGTGTACAAAAGAAGCACCACAATATAATTAATTTCTATTCTCCTACAAAGGCAGTAGCTAAGCTTCAGTGTAAGCACTAAGATGTTTGGCATACATATTAATATCCTAAATGACTATTTGCATGCATGCAAAGCACAAACCCTTTCGTTGCATTACAGTGAAATGTAAGATTTCTCTCTTTACCTTGACAGAAAAGTCACCATCATTTCCATGAGAATTTATTTTTCTATTTGCAAATAACAAAGTGGGACAATGTCAGGTTAACTTTTTAGTAACTATTACTGTCATAGTGCAAGTTACAGAAAACCAGGAAGGAATTTCAAAATACAGCCATGTCCTTAAAAAAAAGGGGGGGGGGAAGTTTCTTCTTGTTTCATAAATTTCCCCTCCAAACATTTTTGTTGAGTTTTAACAATTCTGCTGTCAGGTAGTTGTACTGCAGAATGTTGTAGTAGTAACTTTACATCTAAGGGATATGGCTTAAAAGATACTCTGGAAATCTATCTGCAGTGTTTTATTTGAATATTTTGTGATAAATATTCTAGGATGTTAAGATAGATAAATTTGAAATTTTATGATGAAGAAGCCCGACAGTATCCCTTTAAAAAGGCAATTTCCTGTACATGAACAGCCTTTGAACTTTGGCTGTATTAATTCTTAAAGCATCAAAATGCAAGACAATGAAAGGGTTAACGCAGCATCTCAAAAAGCCACCCTGCTGTCTTAGATTCAAAAACTACAGACACATACCACTGGAGCCTAGAAATTCCACAGAGGAAATGGACCAGCACCTATAGAGGTGTGGGTGTTCTGCAGAGGCCCAGAAAATAAGGTAAAGCACTTTCAGAAGATACTTGTTTCACCATGTTCCTTGAACTAAAGATGGGGGGGTAGTCTGAAATGAGTTAAGAGGGTGTGATAACAACATAAAAATAAGAAAAAAAACCAGAGTGAAAGGGACAAGGAGAATCAAAGTGATAGTCCAGAGGACAGACGAAACAACATCAATATGGACGTATGTTAGTAGAGAACCCTTGGAAACCTCCAATACACTCAGGGTTCAGAGGAGCTCGTACTGCATGCATTAATCTTGTCAAAGACGTGTGGTAAAACTGCTGCATTAAATGAATTGGAACAATCGGTGTGATCAATACAAGCAATTTAGATCCTTTTTTAAAGAATGCAGTCACAAAAAGATAGTGTTAAATGGAATAGAGAGTAATCATATTATTAGACACTGACACTCTAATGCAGTTTCTACTTTCTGGATGTGTATGTTTTGGAAATACTGTTTGGTTTGAGTATAAAGATAAAAAACAGACTCCTAACTTTCCTATTTGAAATAGGACACTAGAATTGGCCTTTTAGATCAAACACAGTCTTAATGCTATTAATTCAGGCTTACTGTATCACTTTCCCTTCAAGATGCACCGCAGTGCAAAAAAGTCACTATGGGTTTGTTTCTCAGCAAAGCCAAAAACTCAGGTTGTTTTTTTTTTTTATTTAGCTTTGTTTTTAAACAACTATATTTTGAATCTATCATGAAAATACTGATGATTTCCACTGCAATTTCAATATCATCACCATCAATGTATTCAGCCACCAGTCACGCGCTTTTTAAAACTGCAGTTAAGAAATCTGGAAAAGCTACGTTAAGGTCTGGTGGATGCTGAAGACTGAGTCTAGTTTTCATGAACAGGATATATTTGGGGCCTATTTAATTGTGTAGAAAAGGCGATGCAAAATATTTTGCTGAGGAAGAAAAAGACATACCTTTGTCCTGTGAGTTAAACCAGACCTTTTTTGCAAACTGAAGACAAGTTAAGTCTCACTCTTGAAGCTCAAGAGGTCAATGCTGTTCAAGAAGTCACAGCTCTCTCGCTGTGATTTTTAGTGCAATATTTAAGTAATTTGCACATCTGATGAACAGAGAAGTACAATAAGGTAAAATAAATTTTTGTCCTGTGATAACATAGCAATTTAGCAGGAATGGAACCAAAGCTTCTGCTATAGTTTTTTTAATTTAGCGTCACTTCAAGAAGATAGTCATAAACTCCAGCTGTCAATTCAGTGATTTGTTTTAGAATCAGGAGGCTCAGGGAATCAAGTCAGCAGGAGAAAGACAAAGAAGAAGCAGCAGCTATCAAGAAGTGTTATGTCCAATAAGATCAGATTTCATTCTGTGTTTATCTTGTACCATACAGTCTGATCACACAAGAAGTTGGGGAGAATAATTTATTACAGAGATCATGATTAACAGTAGCACTTTTTTTTTCAAGGATTTTTCTAAGAAATGAACTTTGATGTTGTATTTATACTAATGAATGATAAAGAAGGGATTTAGGATATCTAATGATTACAAATATATTTGGAATTGTGCTTGAAGTTAGGAACAACAGACAGTTGGATGATACTGTACACCCCATATTTTAAATAAAAATAAAAGGGATGAAGCAAGGAACCTTTTGTTTTTGTTTTCGTTTTTAAAATAAAAGCAAAACGTACCATTGGTTGGGTGTCGAGCAAATGAGATAGAAAACCTTTTAACAGCAGAACCGCGTGTGGTGTCTGAGAAAGAGAAAAACAGGTACCTGAAATTTGTAACAGCTACCAAAAGAAGGAGATTTTAAAATAGGAAAGGAAGAAGGAAGAAAAAAAGAAAATATGAGAAGGTATTAGAACTGAGTGGCATGCAGAGGGGATCAAGGAAAAGGGCAAAAATCTAAATAGAGGTTAAAAAGAAGAAAATTTGGATTGTTGGTAACTACAAGATGTGTAATGAAGTGTATGAAAACAAGCAGAATGAGCTGGTGATTCTGGCATACAAGGTTATTTGGGTTAGAGTCGAACACTGAGTAGTGAAGTGGGGGGAAAACAGCGTGAATAGTTTCACTTCAGTTATAAAGGTGTGCTTTGGCATCTTTACATTCGAAATCTAGTGAGAGAGTTTCTTCTCTACCCCAGATTATCCAAAACTGAAAATCTCCTGCTCCTTTGTAATCCAAACCCCACCAAAAAAAAAGGTTAGGAATCCTAAAATTTTCACCATCAGTATTTAACTTCTTATTACTTTATAATTTCTTTCATTCCTCATATACGCTCCAAGTAATTTATTTAATTTGAAGATCAATTAGCAATGATAAAAGCCAATGTTTAAAATGGTTACAGAATTTCAAACCAAAAATTTTAGTTTACTTAAAAAATGGACTTGCTGAAATCTCCTGCCACGCCTTACAAGCCTGTGAGCTAGTGTTCAATTCAAGACAAACAAGAATTAACTGCGCTATCAAATTAAAACATAAGCAACCTACAGGCAAATAAAGAAGGAATAGAAACTCACAGAATTAATACTAAGGCAAAATATTCTAGGATTCCACCAAAATCTTTAGAAGTTCAATGTGGCACATGGGTTTGTGCGTGCATGTGCGAGAGTGTGCACATACCATCTATGAAGCCAGAAGAAGTCAGCTTTTTACGATGAGTACGAGCATAATCCTGTAGGTTAGGTGCACTTGAAGAACCCCCGAGCACTGAGGTGCTAAACAGGCCCGCACAGTGAGACCCTGATGGGAGTTAGAGAAAATACATACAACAACCAGGTGTTCGTCCATTCACATTGGGGATGCATGCAGCATGCAAGCACATGGCTCTTACCACACAAAAGGCAGCTTTTGGCAGTGCCTTGGACAGGTTCACAATATGCTTGTAATGTCAGAGTGGGACTTGTAGGCTGAAACTATCATAATTTATTGTGCTTCTACTCATGAGACAGCACCCTCTGCTCTATGTGCAAAGAGAGGATTGGCTTTAACCAAAGTGAGTTCTTGTCCTGTTTTCACTTTTGGTAAAAAAAAGTTACCAGTTAGCATCAATGTAAACAAAACAAAACAACAAAACAAAATGAAGATGAGGAGGAGGAGGAGGATGTGAAAGCTGTGTATTTTAAAACCTGCATTTATGAAACAAATATAAACTGGAAAAATACTGCTCACTGCTTTCATCCAAATCAACCTTTGAGATAATAAGCTGCAATAAAGTACTCACGCACTTCCACAGACTTAATATAGGAATATTTCCCTTCTAACCCAAGAAAATATTAACCAAATTGGAAATAACTCTATTCATATTTCAGCTACCATTACTGACAATGTTACAAACTGAAAATACCTAAAAGTTTAGCTTAACTTCCTTTCCTGAGAAGACTTTTGCACAGCTCCACGCAAGTGACAGTACTTTTATTACAACTCATCAGAATGGGAGTTAAACTAATCATCGAAAGCCACAGACAAAAATATAAAAATCATCAACCATAAATGAAACTTACATACAACAATGAACAAAATGGAAAAAAATGTTTCAATTTTTTTCCTTTACATTTTACTACTAGTTGAAAGGAGAAGCTGTTTATCACTCAGAGCTTATCTTTTTATTTTTGATGAGTAGCAGCAGATTTTTCTGTCGAAAACCAGCTGTCTATCCAGTGATGCTTCCTTTCATTACTTTTAACAATCCAGTGAGGGGAAACATTACTAGCATATGTGACCAATCACAGCCAAAAAAAATTGGTGCCTGGTCTGTGGCAAAAGCCTTTCACACCAAATATAATACCTTAATCTACACACAGAAATACATCAATTTCCACAAGCCATATTGTGTCACATAAAAGAAAAGTCATTTAACTTTATCAAGCACATAACAAAAAACAGGACTTCAATAAGCAAGAGCACCTGATGTATGCATTTTACTAAGGGAAAATACAATAGGAAGAAAAGTATCACAGAAAGATTAGACACAGAAAAAATAATACAAAAAATACGTATCTTTACAAAGAAAGGAAAAGCTACTTCTAAGTTTATGCATATAGCTTATGCATTTTCTACACTTCATTTTTCCCATGAAAAAACACACAGAAAAAAAAAGCAAGACTGATTTACAGTAGTGCATGATTTCATTTTTTTTGCATATGAATCATATGTATGCCTGTTTAAAAGAAGCAGCAGAAAAGCACCACTTGAATTAAGGGAATTTGAAACAACTCATTGAATTATAGCATGATTCATTCTAATGCTGAAAAGAAGAAATTAATTTTAGGAGAGGGAATATGTGCAAAACCCCTGGTACTATTAAGAAACTTGAGGTTTTTTCCCCATCCCAGTCCCCTCGTTAAAACACCTTCACTTTCATCAATTGCCTGCAGCAGGAAACAGAAATTTTCAAGAAAAGTGTTTTAACAGTTTCTGGTGCAGGCCATTTCAATCCAAAAGATTCTTGCAAATTCCGAAAACTCCATCAGAAACTACATTATAATGAAAATCTACTTTACATTAAAAATAGTCCTGTGCACCTGTTGCGAGCAGTAAATAATCAGTAGTATGAACAGTCTCGAATACTTTGCTATTTTCAGTTGTAATTTATTTAAAAACTTTTCCTGCAGAAAAACTGTCCAGTTCGTAGGCAGACACTCAGCATATGTTACTGATAACAAGTACTATTGGGTCCTGTTAACAAAAAAGCTATTCAAAGAATATACAACTGCACAGAACAGGCAGATGAAAAGCTGATAACATCAAACAAAATTTCAATTGTAGGCACATACCTAGACCACTCTGCTTTTGTTCCAGAATAGTTCGTGGTGTTCGTAAGTTACTATTGCTTTCTGATAGGACCTGGATGAAAAAACAGAAAAATAAGGGCAAGTAGAACAGCAGCATGAAACATCCATTTAACTTGATACAGCAGCCTGTTTCAGACAGACACGTGTTAATAAGCTGTATGATAAGTGTTAGTAAAAATATGTAAAGGAAACATGAAAGATCATGCAATATCCCCTTCTGAAGGGAGTCCATTTCACATATGAGTTCCTTGCAATGAAGTGGTGCAAAGCAAGCATTCAGAATGAGAAAGGACACAGACCAAGACCGATATGAGAACAAACATTTGAGACATTTTATTTCATTTTACCAAATGCACTCTCCTAAACTGCGCCTGTATTGAAAAAAGGAGGGGAGGGAAGGAAAGACAGACAAGCTATTGAGGACACGATACAATCACTGATCCATGCACGGGTTCAATCAGTGTAATCTTCAGATGCTCACAGCCTTTGCTGATATAAACTTTTCCAATGTAAATAGTTTTAGAATTTTCAATATTAAATTATGAAAATTTTCAGAGAAAAAGGATATGGTTAACAGAACACCATCCATTGTCATACATGTAAACAATATCTTGACATTCTGAACATCTTTAGATCTTCACTGGTACTTCCAAGACATTTCGCGTTTCTTTTTTTTCCTGCCTTCCCCTCACCCCCCAGTATAAAGAACAATCTTCAAAATATTGTACAAGTCAATGGATGATGTACTGTTTTGGGAGTTTCAGATACCTCTGGATACAGAAGGCAAGAATTATTAGTGCTAGGAGTTTTTTCCCTGCAATAGTTAATACCAGGCCACTGAAAATATAATATATGCAAAACAAGTTTTGAATAGCAGCATGAAGTACCAAATAAATTATTTTAAATGGTATTGGTTGCAATTATTAATGTTTAATTTTTTTTTTCAATTTACCTACCACCAAATTAAGCAATGCTGGTTTTAAAGTCTTAAAGGACAACTAAACCAAAGCAGAAATCTCTTTCATTAGGCAGTTGCACTAAGTCTTTTTTAATGTGGTAACATTTGCAATTCCTATAAAGAAACCAAATTTTTATGAAAACATGTAACACATTCAGTGGAAAAACATGCACTTGCTTTTTTTCCCCCAAACATTCTCGGCAAGTAATTTTAAGAAGTGGAAGATTTTGCTTCAAACATAATCCATAACAAGGGATTAGATGTCCTTAAAGACAGTTGTTGCTTGGAATGCATAAAATGTTTAATGAAGTAAAGTTTAAAAACCTGTTGCCATGAGCCAAAAATACTGGATGTGAAAGCCAGTGATTTAGGGGAGACAGGGGAAGAAGTGATTTGTTCCCCTGATCTGCGTCTTCGACGCCCAGTACCCACACCACTGGTGTAATGCAGCCAGGTACCAATACACTCTGGGCTAGACACACTCAGGGGGCTCTCTTCCTGGAAGTGAGAAAGGGGGCAAAAAACAGCAAAGCATGCAAAGTTAGATTCAACAGAGCCAAATGAACAGAAAAGAAAAACCCAATCTGCTTGCACTCTTTTATATACTACTTTTAAAACTATTAAACAGCGAATAGAGAAGAGTAATAATTCAATATTAGGAAGTTAGCAGTTCCACTCTTTTCATCCAGCTATATCTTTTAATATAACACTTCAGTCAAATTTCTGGTATACTAATTATTAGATATGAGAGAAAGGTATTTATTAACAATAATTGATTAATGATTATAAGAATTTTCCACATGCTGGAAACAGAACATCTATTACCCTTGACATCCTGTTTAATAGTTCTTCCCCTCTTAAGTACATTAAACTTTCCTATTTATCACTTAATAGTTTCCATTTCTAGTCTATAAACTTATCTGAAAGACTCTCATTTTTTAAATCGCCTTTGAGACTTTACAGCTGACTCACTGGTAGTAGCACCAACCTGACTGATAGTAGTTTCCCAAACTTAAAAAAGTCCTGAACTATAGCTGATGCTGGACACCTGACTAAGACTTCAAGGGAGGACAGTGTCAGGCTAAGAGCCCCCCTATACCCTACATCATTTTGTATCATTAGCATTAACATTTTTTGCAATACAGAATTTGCTTTCCAATGTTGATGAACTTTACGTTCTTGTTTTACTATTAAAACTCTGCTCTTTTTTCTTTTCGTGACTCAGTTACAGTTGCAAATCCTTCTGTAAATATTGCTGACTACAACCCAGATTAAAACTTCCATATAATCTCACACCTGACAGTGTCCTTTCAAATTAACGGACATAGGTGAAGAGAGAATTGCCTTACAGGAGGGAAAAACAGGAAATACAAAAAAGGTCAAGGCAGTTGCAGTTTAAGTTGCAGTGACTTTTTTTTTTTTTAAACACTTCGTTTGGTTTAAATATTCCAAATACTGGTTTTGCAGATTTCAGTAGGCCAGATGAAACTTCCAATTTTACTTTTAAGAAAAAATATTTCACAGTGTATGTTTTCTCTAAATTGGCTAATTTCTTCCCGCAAATAAACAAGCACAGAATGCTGAAACACATTAGAACTCAAAATATACTATCTGCATAGTCAAAATTTGGCAATTTGTGCTACTGATATCTTGTGAAAGTAACTTCCACATAATTTATGAAAATGGTTAGAAGTTTGAAGTAATAGACTATTAAACTGCACGTATATGAACTCATAACTAGGAGGGGAGTTTGCATGATCATAGTGAAAACAGCTTTTAAAAATCAAAAATATTGATGTTGTGAGCATTTGTTTATGAAAAAACTTGGAAATAGAAAATGTAAGACATTAACATTTATTATGTCTGTTAATTTATGGAAGTCATGTGAAGTTATACAAATATCCTTATAGAAAGGAACCATGCATCTTTTTCTCTCCACACTGCCAATAACCAAGTAACTTGCAAATCTATAATACTTTTACTGCATACAAACAGCCCATTCCCAACACAAACATGAAAGAAAAAGCTTTTGATGTGAATCTTCATTTCTGATGGTTTTAAGCAACTGAAAATGAGGCAATAAGAAGCTGTTAGTCTGCTTCTAGCATTAATATCACAGAAGTGCCACTATGCACCATCTGAAGCTATGCCACTCAACTATCCAACCATCCAAATGGTATCAGTGATACAGCCGTGCATCCCCCCATCTCTGTGACATTAAAGCTATGTCTGTGAAGCACATCTAAATGTCATGGCCTTCAACACAGCAAACTCGACTGTTCAAGATGTTATCTAGCGAATTCATGAAACACAAACCCCAGCTACTTAATAAAAAGCTCCAGGTTTATTTTCTTACCTTCAAAAGCTTGATAAGTGGAGTCACTTTCACCCCACGTGAAAGCAAACACAGCAGAAGACATGTCTCTCCTCCTGTACCTCCCCTACCGCCCCCAATCCCTCTGTTCCCTCTCAGCACGGTTCACCCTGAAAGTCTGCTTAATTCCCAATAGCAGCTTTCTTGTAATGATGAATACGAAAGCAGTGTCTGTTAGTTCGTAGATGTAGGTTTAGATTGAAAAAGTCTTCATTTTTAAATACTGACTTTTCTAAAGTGGCTTAAAAAAAAAAAAAAAAGTCATCACAGAACAGTAATTTTTTTTTTTTTAATTCCTTCAGACAAATTACTGTCATGGAGGATTTCCCATAGAGCAAGAGCAAATCTTCTGTGAGATGCATCCTACTGGTGCTGTGTAGCCAAAAGCAGCATTACATTTCGTTTTGTTTTGTTAAAAGCAAGTAAAAGTTAATTTCTGTCGAAGACATTATATGGAACACAAACACTTACTTCAACAGAACCAATCTTCCTGGATCTTGGAAGGGGTGATTTTCTGTGTATATGAATTGGGTCTGATACCATTGGCTTGAACATCACTACTGATCGATCTGTTTCATCTCTTTTAGGAGCATGTGCCTCCTCATCACTATCATTTCTGTGAGAGGTTTTCTTCGAGCCTTCATTCTACAAACAACACATAATTCATTTTCAATTTGTCTGTGCACCTTGAAACACGTAGACAGAAGCGGCTCTTAAATAAATCCTCTTTGTAAAGATAAAGCAAGCTGATTTTAAACATACAAGATGTAAATCACAGTTAATTGACCAAATTGCTCTAGATTTTAATAATCTACATATGTTTCTTCTTTCTTCTTCTATCAGAAGAATTCCAGCCAAGCTTTGGTTTCAATCCTTTCTCAAAAAGCATGTGGTAAGTCCACAGACCTGACCATACATCTTTGAAAAAATCAATCCTTCCTCAACAATCTGTATTCATAAGCATGCCGAACTACCTTCTTAAATTTCTTTCAATTGCCAGAATATCATTCATGTGACAGTGATGTTGATATCACTTTTCTTACAAAGAGTACTTTGTATTTCTAGCAAAAATTCTGGCAAAGCCTTAGACAGTCCAAATTATCTGTGTCCTTTACCTCAATGCCCATTCAAAATGGAAAAGACTGGGACTGCCTATATTTTACTGGACATTTTTCTACCAAAGTAAAAAGATCACACTTTCATTTTTTACTTAACTATTTTCCAGTGTTTATTTTAGGTGTTTCTCCACAAAAACTAACTTTTGCTTTAAAGAAAGGCATAATTACTACCTCTCTGGAGGCAGGTCTGTATCCATATCCAGCTGGTAAATTTTTATCTTCCTCACAACCTTTGGCTCCTGGACTAAAGTGCAGCTCTACATGAAAACGTTCCTCCGAAGAAAGTTCCTGAAGGAAAATATTACATAGGTTTATGTTGTAATACATAGCTCAGCCCTACTCACTTCTGAAGATACTTATCCATTTTAAATACCTTGTTTGGGTCCTCATAAAGCATGATAACAATCTGTGTCATGTAATTGAGTTCATTGACCACATTTAAATAATCCATAGCTCGTTTCCATTGTTCATCTTTTGATTCCTTATAAAGGGACAAAAACAAAAAATCAACACAAAAACCTAGCTATTTTCTTTAAAAAGACTGATGATTTCACCTTTTCCCCATTTACAGAGATTTTAAATTTACAGCAGAAGCACAGAGCTTATCACACCTAAGGAAAATGCAGATACATCCAAAAAACCAAGTGACTTAAAATTACTCATCAAATGAAGGAGAAGTGGAAGGGAGAACTTTTCATATTTTATTTCAGTGTGTCTTTCATGTTCTTTTGACAATGATGATATGTCTTGTAGACAGAGGCATTATTTTAAGATTCTCACAATGAGAATCACTAATTTAGCAAGAAACTCATTTTAACAAATATATTATGGAAATTGTTTCCAGGTATCGTGCTAACAGTCAAACAGACAAAGTAAATGAAGCTTTCTAGTATATATCACATCCTAAACTACTGAAATGCATAGTTACCTTTCTTCATGCCCTAGGAAAGAAACCATTTAGTAATCCACCGTAAAGAAAAATTAAACGTTTATCAGACTAAAACTTGGAGTGTATCTGTTGTAGCATTTCATTGAGGTCTAGGATGAAAAAGGCTTTTGCCATTAGTGAGTTTAGTCATCCATTACCAGAAGCAAGGATGTCAATACAGTGATTTCAAAAGCTAGTATGTTAGTCAAGCTCTATTTTACAAGCAGCTAGCTGGGATTTGTAGTGCTGCATTTATCCTTTCCAAGAACTCAGTTAAGTAATTTCTGAATCTGAAGACCTTGTCTTTTTTAGTTCTTGGTGTCAAAGACAATCAGATGGAGAATAATGCACCCCCTTTGTGGTATTCTACAACAGTAGAGAAAAGTAAGACAATTCACTGTACAGGAGAAACTTTGCACTACATAAGCATTCTTTAAGTCAGGTAGGGAGGTCCTGACAATACGTCAATAGTCAAAAATAACAAGCCAGTCCAGAAGTAAATTCAAGAAAACCCTAAACGATAACTGGAAGGAAAAGGAGTTGGAAGAATTACTGGTGACAACATAGGAGAAAAAAAAAGTATCTGTCCTTTCCAAATATATTTGTGACTAACACAACACAGCCAATGCAATTTGAAACATGTCTCTGCATATATAATAAGAAATCAAATATTTGCAAAAAATGTGATAAATTTCAAAGTCACTTAAGAAAATTATGCTATCAGCAAGATTGAGTCCTTAAGGTTCTTCTTCAGAGCTTTAAGAGAGAAAGTGTTGAACTCACATCACATAAGGCACCATAACGAAGGGTGGATAACAGGGAATGGACGTGACTCTCGCTGGTAAAATAGAGCCGTGTGCGAACGTGGCGTTCCGGGGACATAACACCCCTGGAGTAACTTAAAAGAAAGAAAAGTGCTATTAGAACATGATGAGATGTGTCCCTATTTTAAAAAAAGCTGTCGACAAATAAATAAATAAATAATAATATCTGATTACTATGAGCTAAAAAGACACTTCAAATATGTAAGCTATGGAATATCTACATCAATTCTTACAGGAATTATTGTAACCATGTAAAAAAGTAACTGGCTTACAGAGGGTGAAGCTTATTTACAGTGTCATCATCTTGAGTTCTCTGAAGGTCAGAACGAATTTTTCTGACTAGAGGAGTGCAGTACCCTTTGGCAATCTCCAGTTTCTCAGCTTTAGAAATACCATATTCCTGTGTAAGAAGAAATTGACTTTTAAAATTCAGTTAAAGATTAAAATGCCTTCTAATTCAAAACTTCTATATTAAACCAAATTACTCATCTACTAGTTTGCCCTAGCTGCAAACCATTTTGTTTAACACTTTCATGACATTTGATTACTTATGTACCAAACAAGCAGTTTGCCTTTTCGCTGTTTGATTTGATACAGAGAAATAGTTTTTCATTCATTAGTTAAACCATAAAAGAGGATTCACCTTCTGGTATGATCAAGCTCTTTTTCTTAAGCAAAACATCTAGGGGGTCACTCCTCCTTCCTGCTACCATCTCCATCTGCTATCTTGCCTGAAATTCTGTGGAACTTGATATTTACATTCTTATCACAGAGTGTCAGCATTTTGAAAAAGCAGGAATGTCTTTTTAAATTTACATTGTTTAAGACAGGTTAAATTATTACACAGATTAGGATTAACAGTCTCATTTGCAAAGAGTTCAAAAATCAAATTGCTATAAGCAGGAAAAATGAAATTAAAAGCAATGTCAGAATACACAGTTGTTCACAAAGGCTGCACTTAAATCTATGAAGCTGATTGAAATGAACCACTTTATTTTAATACACTAGTGTAAAGGAAGGAGGCATGTTCACATCTTAAATCGCTAGAAAAATTCACCTCAAACTCATCTTAATGAATTATGAATTCAATTTTTCCTACAAAAACCAATCAGCTTGGTACTGAAAAATAAGAGATAATGTTAGAGGTTTCTATTATTGCAAAATACAGGAACTTCAATAGAAAAGACAGAGTAGACATTTTCCAAAAATTTGAAAAAGCACTTATTCTACAATTTCTTCTACTTAATAACTAAAAAATGCTTACCTGAGGAATAACAATGTCAGCTAACGCCTTTGAAAGCCTGTATAATTCCATTGTGTTTTCTAATTTTAAGGATCCATTGTGCTGTACGTCATATTTTATACAGTCATAAATATCAGGAATTTTGCTAATATCATATCTTCCATTTTTTGTTTTGAAGTCTTTTTCCAGCTTGGCCCACCTGCGCAGCATCAGCTCTAGAGTTTCACTGTGGTACAGCTGAATATCTGGATAGACACATATCTCTTCTAAGTAATCAAGACCATTCAAGTAAAAAAAGGACATTACTACTACATTACTACTACATGGTAGTAACAACGGAATTACAGAGGGATAAAGGGGATTGCATAAGTTAACTTCATTACTTCTAAGAAGAACAAACAGCTGTGCATATGGTTAGTTTTAGTGTGGAAAGCATCACAGCACTACAATAGTACAAAGCAGTGCTGCAGAAATGCATCACTGGCCCTTTAAGCAAAACTACAGCACCAAGAATAAGGTGTCCAACAGCACAGATATATATTAAAAAGGGAAAAAAAGCAACTAAAAAGCTTTAAGAAAATTCTAGGAGGGAGGAAGAGGAGCAATCCAACATGTTTGTTTTAGAAGAGACGACACATTCCGTTTGTCTCTCCTGCACACATCAACGGCAAGAGACAGGTAAAAAGGATGAATTATCCTCATCCTGGGATAGGAGATTACACCAAGTAGACAAAAAACACTGATACTTTGTACAGGTGACACTTGCACTGTTCAGCCTCAGACAGAAGCTGTTTGCACACTCAACACTGCAGAGAACACTGGCAGCAAGCATTCTAATATTTAGCTAGCAATGAAAAAGCACTGTGGTCACTCCAGCTCACTGGTTGGCCACCACTAATACTGAGTATCATTTTATGCAACACTATAACACATCATACAGCAAGCAACAGATCTTCAGCAAAGATACTTAAATATAAAATGTACCTATATGTTAGCTTTAGTACCATCTGCTTTTCCTGTTATTTTTGTGGAATTGCGAGTTTCAAATAATTAAGACAAGAATTTCTGCAAGCACTGGAGGCCTGAATATCTGACCACCACAGAACCTTTACCTGCAATACGGCCACATGTTCCTCTTGCTTTTTACTTTAAAATTATGCATATGAAATCAGAATGTAAAAATCCCTAACCCACTGGTTGACTGAAGTTCTTCTAAAAGTGAGTTTGATGACAAAAAGTTATATTACAATTATCTCTCATACATTAACAAGAGAAACTAAATACAACTACAGATTTGTTTGAGTACCTGCAGACTTTGGATCTTCCATTCTTTGCCTGATCTGAGATGTCAAGCTCTGGATCAAGTAATAGACCTTGTCACATGTCTTTACAGGATTTTTAATAACCTGCATTGATTTTATCAATGATATGCTTCCAGATGGAGTAAGCTGCAATTTGATACAAACAAAAAATTACCTTAACAGAATATATTTGAAAGACCTCAGATAAGATGGAACATATGAAAGATTCCAAGTACTGGAGAAAAAGCATTCAAGCAGGTTGCTGTTCTCTTTTTAATCATTTCTCAATTACATACTCCCTTTGAGGCATTACAAAAAGAAAATACATTAAAAGGTAGTAAGATTGACTAGAAATTCAAAGATGACAGGAAATTCATACGGTAACGAATTCTATACAGTAAATGTGAGCTACTACAGGAATTCATAAACCTGCTTTTTTTGTTCCAAGACAGGAAAATTTTAAAGATGTTTAAAACTTCGTATATACTTAGCAAGTTTCCATAACTCCCTTTCAAGTAACTTCTGTATCCCAAAGCTTACGAAAAAAAGCTGTGAAAAATGTTGTCATTAGGCTACATGTCTCACAAAATACTTTTTGTTCCATAAAGTACCTTTCTTAGCAAAACTGGGGGGAAGAACCAGATTTGCAATAGCAATCAAACCTAAAAAAAAAGTTTGTTCCTGTTTTCAGTTTGTGTTTCTATAGGACTGCAGGACACAAACACAAAAAGACACCCTTTAAATGCACATATATCAAGAACATATAAGATGTTCTTTAGAAGTTGTAGAAGTTACAAATTATACCATCCAGCATCACTAAAACAATAGTCAATATCCATGTAAGTGAGCCTTAGCCTCATTTTTTTGGAAAAATCTGCAGAATCCAAAGTCAGCAATGAGATTAAACAGTAATTTATACACATAACACATATGTATTTGCACTTTCCTTCCTTTCCTAAAATGTGTAGAATAACTTGTATATGGAAAACTTCTGCCCTCTACCTAATAATAAGTAGTTTCTATCTCCATATCATGTCCAAGTAAATCAAGGAATTGATTTATTTATACATAATAGAGAGAGGGGTACAGGAATAAACCCTATGTGGTTTTCCCAAATCACAAGCAAGTTGAAATAACACCCACATATAAATGAACCTCACAAAAGTTATATTATTGCTTTATAATCCCAAAGGTTAGTTCCTTCAGTGACTGAAGGACTGCTCTGTTAGCTCCAGCCACATTTCAAATCCCATGACATCTATATGGCAAACATCAGTAAATCCTTGACACCTTGTACCCACTCCCTTTTTCCAAGTACTGGTGAATCCACTGCTGGTAGTGGTTTGAATGATACTTTATACATTTAAATAAATCCACAGAGTATACAAGCAGGGTAGTAAAATTGTTCTTCATTAATTTGCTCTCCATATCTTTTCAAAAATAGCAGTTTAAGATTAAACCTCATTTGAGGACTTGTATTTAGCAGTTACATGAGACAGAGTGAAAACAATTGAAAGAGAGTAGTTTCTTCACAATAACAAATATTGCTTACACTTAAAACCAGGAACAATTCCAAGTGTTCTGTACTAAGTCAACATAAACTGTATTACTATGCACTAATTTAGCATATTAATAAAGTATTTCCTTTCATTCATTAGAAAGTATTTTACTGGGTTTCAGCATCTTAGTATTCTTAGTTTAAAAAAAACCAAACCAAACCAAAAACCTTGTAGCAGATTAAATATTGAAACAACTGCAGTAGGCAGGAAAACGTTTTGTAATACCACATACTGTCAAAGTATTACAAAAAATGTGAACAATATAACTTAATTTCTTGAATACTTAAAATATTTTTAATGGAACAGTGAAAAATACTTATGAATGAGGTCCCTATCTACTCCTATTTCAAAGTTTGTAGCTATTCTGATTATTCAACTTGCAAGACAAAATACCTACAGCACAATTAGTATGGCTTCCTTTGTAGTTCAAACTATTTGCGAGCACACAATTTTTCAAAATGGATATATAAAATCACTGCTCATTACTTTTACACAGGAATTTTTGTGGCTACTTATTTTATTTCATAGGAAACTAATCATATGCTAACCTTATCATAGTCATCAGCAGTAAATTCTCTGTCTCTCTGGAGAATTTCATGGAGTCTTGCTTTAACACGATGCTGACAGCTGCTTAAAGAATCACTGTCACTGTCCAACAGACCATTCATATTAGCACTTTTTACCATCTGGACAAGAATAGGAGTCAGCTCTCCCTCTAAGGCCAGTAGTCCCTGAAGCAAATAACACAACTATTCAGGCAAAACAGATAAGAATATGAGTATCTTAAAAAACCCAACCAAACCACTAATTTAAATTTCGAGATGGTATCACTTGCATATGGGTTGGATAAACAGAGACACAATGCAGGTATTTGCATAGAAATGACCCCCAAAACACTGCCCCAGTGTGCATGATTGGTACAGATGGTGCAACAGTGATGGTGACATGTCAGAGCATACTCCCCAGCACCAGCTGAAGCAACCCAAATCACTGGGTGCCAACACTGCTCCTGGGAGGTGACAGCTGCTCAGGTCTTTGCAGAGACTCTGCAGAGGCAAAAGTCCTGTGAGTCACAGGACAACCAAAGGCCTTGAAAAAGAGGTGAATGGAGAATTCCAAAATGAAGAAGGCTAAAAACTTTCATGAATTTTCTGGCAACAGAAAGCCTCTGGAATAAGGAAGGAAACAGGGTGGTGTCTCTTCAAGCCTGCTGACCAAGGAAAAAGCAGGTCAGGTGGTTGAAATATTTCTGTACAAACACATGCAGCATGGAATCAAATAGGAGAAACAGGAAGTCTGAAGACTTGTAGAGCTTAAAGCTAAGTCAGATTACAGAGACGTGGTAGAACAGTTCACATGAATGGTGTTTCGCTATAACTAGGTACAGGGCCTTTTGGAAGGGAGATAGAGTCGGGCTCTTCATCAAGGAGTAGCTTGAACACCAGGTCTTCTGCTTTCAAACTAGTGACAAACAAGTTGAGAACTTATTTGTAAGGATCAGAGGACAAATAAGCATAGGACAACAACAGGGTGGGCCTTTGCTACAGACCATCTGAAATAAAAGGGGAAATGGATAAAGCTTTCTTAACAAAACTGGAGAAAGCCTCCTGATTGCAGGCCCTGTTTTCCATGGGTGCGCTTGGCCCTGAACACCTCATGCATAGGCAATATTGCAGGGGACAAACAATCCAGATTTCTGGAAAACAACCAGGACAATTCTTTCGACACAGGTTACTGATGAACTATTGAGCAGAGGCATTGCCCTGGAACTGTTACTCAGAAGTGTCAGGAATGGGAAGGTCAATGGCACCCTTGGTAATTGAAATCTCATGTTATAACAGATCCTTGGACAAGTGAACAAAACAAATACTTGCATTAGAGCTCTGGTCTTCAAATGAGCAGACTTTAGCTTGTTCATGGAATTCTATGGATTTGTCGTGAAGGACACAGATGCCTAGGACATGGCTGTTTAACTCAAACCTGTCTTCATCTGCTCAAGAATTTCAAATGCTTGGCTCATTAACGGAATACTTTTTCACACTGAACTACTCTTTGAAAATACATTTTTCTGATAAACCATAAATCTCTTCCAGCTTTCAAAAGAAAAAGCAGGTGTGAGAACATCAGAATTTTAAAACTGAAAATACCATTTGACATTGTACCTTTGCAAAAGCTGCTGCAGTCATCTGAACTCGTCCCTCGTCAGAAGCGTAGATCTTGAGATCATGTCGGTAAGTGCTGTGTAATCTAAGTAAACCACATCCAGGAAATCCAGCATAATCTCCTACCAAACAAACATTTTGCTCAAACTCTCATTTTCCACTGGATTATCTTCCAAAGTTATTTACGACATTCATCACTTTTAAAAAAAATATTACTATAATTTTTTTTTACCTTGTCCACCTGGATACATACACCTGAAAGCTCTTCCAAGCTCCTCTGCTTGAACCCTGCCTGCAGGGGTCAATTCTCCTCCCCATTTTAGAACCAGAAGCAGGGATGGCTCATTTCTTCTATTATCTAATTGCACACAAAGAGAGGAGTTTAGCAATGAAGTAAATTTTAAGTTTTTTTCCCAAATGAACAAAAAATATTTGGTCTCTGCAGGGCTTCAGTAAAGGATCTCTTCAACATTATGAATCTTTAATAGCATTCTAACATTAAGAAAATATTGACCTGGTAAACTAAATGGGCACTTTAAATAGTGAAAACTGAAGTAGTTAAACTATGAAGAAAATATAAGTGAAAAATATTTAGCATGCAATCTGAAGCAGAAAGTAAATCAAGACAGAAAAACTAAAACAAATCGGATGCTAAACACCCTACAGCTTATAAAAGTTTTAAAGACAGTAGTAATTGTTGAGTGAGATTTTCTTATCCTAGCTCAAAACACCATCTTAGTGAAATCACTGAAGTTTCTTTTCATGCTACTTTTCTATTACAAAAGAAAAGTGTTAGAATAAAAATTTACTAAATAGTTTTAGGTATACAATTCAGCATGTTAAGAGACTGTAAATATCTGCCAACAATACAAATATTCATTCAAAACAAAATATCCCTTCTTCTTAACATCAAGACATGTCATACCAGTAGTCCATGACTATTAAAATACACAAGGTATTAAGTGATTAGGTGCAAAAGTAATGCAATACCTTCCTCTTCACTGGAAGTCTTAGGGCAGCCATGAGGAAGGTATGTTAACTGAACTTTGCGATTGATGCCTGAAAAATGCCCATACCTGAAGTGGGGACAAGGAAAAGTGAGAGAGGAAGTGGGAGAGAAACTTTTAAAATATTTTCCCCCAAAACTACTAAGATCTTGTAACAGGATATAATAAATCTATGCTGTTCACTGATTTGTGCATTTGACCACCATTTATTGAAGCAGTGCTTCGAACAAACATTAATTCAACAAGAACAGAATTAAAAGAAGTAACAACTGTGCGATAATGAAATATCTTAAAATACGATCTACTACTATTTTTTTACAACTCTTAAAATTGGAAAACAAAATCCTAAACAACAACAAGCAGCACTGGCAGACTGCACAAGTAATTTATCTATTCAGACGCAAAATTACATTGGCTATCAAGAATCTGGTCTGACAGTGTAGATGGCTACTATTTTTTTAGCCCATTAAGTTCTCAAAGCAGAACTCAAGATTTCAAACAATCATCATAAATTTCAGTAATAGCTGTCTGCGCCCTGATAATTTCTTAAATTAAGATTATCCGAAGTAGATAATTTAGCATTCTAAGATTCCAGATCTTTAACAAATCTTGAAGCCTTATTTTTTTTCTGTTGTTTTCTGTTTGTTTGGTTGGGGTTTTATTTTTTTTAAGTTACTTAATATTTCAGGCATATTGTACAACAATTTATTTGCAATCCTCCAAGTCTGCTGTAAGTAGACAACTACACATGATGAAAATTCTTACTGGCTCTATCAGACTTCTTATGTCACACTGCAAGAAGCAGACCCTTCATTTTAAAAACATGCAAGAAGACAAAATTTGATACCCAAGAGAGCAATTTGATACCCTTCTCATGTCAAAAGTATACTGAGACACTAGATACAGTAACAAGTTCAATTAAAAAGACAAGAAGAAAAAAAAAGAGCAATGGACTGGTTCAAACGTGACATCCTTTCTCTTCATAACCTTTGTGCTTGAATTATTATATCATTACATATTTGATAACATTGCAATCCAGGCAGTAACTAGTGAAACAGGTCAAAACACCAGACAGAACTTTGCTGAGGTCAAAACAGCAGAGAGAACTTTGTTGTTATGAAACCTAAAAATTAGACACTTACATTTCTAACACAGTCTTTAGCTGTTCAAGTTTTGCTTTACTTTCTTCAATTTCAGAATCATTGTTTTGCCCAAGTTCTACAAGGAGCTGCCTTGCTATATCAAGCACTTCCTAAAGAACGGAAACATAGGATTTATTTAAATAAGTTTCTATTTACAAAATACTACATCAAGAAAATAAAGACCAACTTGCCTGTAATTGTTTTGGTTTTTTCAGTTTTAGTTTTCCAGACTTATATCCATCACATTTTTCAAAGAGATCAAAAAATCTTTAAAAAAAGAAAAGTCATTTAAAATTCAGTTAATAAATTAAAATAGTACTTGAACAAGTGCCTCTTAAAGTAGACTAAAATTAGCACCTTTATACTATATGAAAATCACGTTAAAACCTGCACTACAGAGGTTAAACTAGATTTTATTCAAATCCCATTTCCCCAGAAAGTTGAGAAATAAGAGCACTAAAAATGTTCTTTTACTAACTTGCTAAGTATTAAAAAAAAAAAAAAAAAGAATATTCTACATATTTTAATATGCAGCTAATGTGAATTCTTAACCTTCAAGAATGATCCTGAACAGAAGTAGGGACCAAAAAACAGAAAAGGAGCAGTCCTACACTTCTTCAGCATGTTTTGAATGCGAGAATCTAGTCACAAAATAATTAATTCTTTTTTACTGAAATTTCAACAAATTCCAGGTCAATTACATAAGTCATTTTATAAATGCTAACATAAACATGGTATCTACCAGAAATTCTGAGTCATCATACTTTGACAAAACTAAAGAACAAAAAGGTGTTACTGTAAGATGACACCTCACACAAGAATAGTTATGATAAAAAGTGAAACGCAGAAGTCACGGTCTAAAGGAGAACCAGAAATATTCTTTGCTGCATTATTTTGAATAAAGACATCTACAGATATAAACACATTTTCCTTAAGATCAAAGAGGACAGTTCACAAGCCATGTGTTGAAGGAAATCTGTACAAGTAATTTGACAGTTCTGTTAGGAAGAGAGGTGCATGCTTTTTAATTAACTACAATATCAGTTAGATTTAAAAGAAAACAAAGCAAAAAACAACGTGCAGTTATGCAATTCCTGCTCAACTCATTGCTTGCACAACCCCAAGAATCCTCTGCTTTTAAACATGGGCAATAATTTTTACCAAGATTCCACTGACCTCTGATGTTTTACCTCCATTTTCATTTTTTGCTTTGGTGTTCGGTCCCCGTGGCGTATTACAGCTATAACACATCTGAGCTCCATCCTGAAATTTCAAGAGAGTCATATTTCACAATTCTGCCTACAAAGGTTTTTTATTTAACATTAAACCAACCACAATCAAGACAACTGACAAAGTTGTAGACATCTGACATAACTACAGAAGTGATGGAAGGATATGTAAGAATATAAGGTTAACTGAAAATGATGTAAAGTGTAAAATATAAATACTGATTTTAACACTTAGGTAACTACAGAGTATCTATTTTAAGTAGTTTTTAAAACAGCAATTTTGAGGATCATTAAATGAGAGAGGATGTTTATTAGAAGCGCATATTAAGTTGGTGCTGGAACAGTGATTAGCAGTGGAAGCTATGCATAAAAGATGCTACACTTGAAAATCTGCTGTTCTATACTCAGCTTGACTAAGGGTGAGAAACTCTGACTGCTGGCATAGCAATTGTAATTCCTTCCTTGTTTTCAGCACACAAAACAAGCATTCATAGGCCAAAGTGGGCACACCTTGTAAAGAGAAAAAAAAATTCACACAAAAGTTACATCGGGAGTTTGCACAATCCAAGTGTAGCAACTGTTTTCTTACATTGTTCCAGAGGTGGTTGGCACAATAGGGATGTCTTCAGCTTCCAAAGGAATTGACCATGGTATCTGAAACTGGGGAGCAAGTTCTCTCATTATGATATTTCTAAAAAAAGGGGTTAAAAAGAAAAAAAAAATCAAGTAAGTTTAAAGCACAGCTTACAAAACACACACGAACTCCAAAACAAACCAGTTATATATATATATATATATATATATATATGTGCATTTTTATTAATGTAGTTTTAGAGTACTAGCAGCCATGAGCCTCTAGACACACTTTTTTTTTTTAATTGTATAATAAAAACCTACTTAAACAACAATTTAAAGCTACTACAGCTGCTACACAGATGTTAGACTACTGGCCCTGTATTTGAAATATAAGCTTTTCAACTCCAGTTCCTAAAGGAGCTGCTTGGGTATGAATTAGTCTTGTTCTCTTAAATATGCAGACAATTAACTCCACTGCCCAGCTAAAAGTCCCTGATAATCATCAAGCCATTCTCAAAGAGTAACTGGCACCTTTTACTGGTAACTTCTCAAAAGTCTCTGTGATAAAACTGGAAATGTAGGTACAGTCTCTGGTAATAACCACAAAATTACAACACACTCTCCACCTCAAGAAGGTTGGTACATCTTGCTAATGTTCTGTTTCACAAGTGTCTCATAAAAATACACTGAACTTCAGATTAATACCTACATAAGAAGCAGTAACATGGAAGAAAACAACTGTGCATCCTAAAGTAGAATAAGACAAAGTTTATTGCTAAAAAGTGTGAAAAAACCTGCTGTGGCTTAACACTGTAGTGTATTACCTTAGAGTATAAGTTGTGAGGAAAAAACAATGAGGTAACTTTTTTAAAAGAGAATTCAACAGCTACAACAATTTAAATAAAGAGAAATCAAAATGGGTCTGAGAATTGTAACTCTAACTCAAAAAGTGACTTAAAGCAACAGGACTACAGCTGTTATCTAGGATTTCAGCTTAGCTCTTCCTCAATAAGATTCCAGACCATTACATGATGCAGAAAGTCATGCTGTACCTCATCAGTGCAATCTTACTGTAAAGATCAGTTTAACTGGCCAAAATGGGATCAGCCTACTTTGAGGACAGCACTTGCTTTTTAGTATTTATTGACTTATGATTCTCTTTAATAACTGATTTACTTTATTGTTTAATGTAATTACTTATTTTATGCGATATTTAATTTTAAATAATTAATTTAGGAATAAGAAATCTGTAGTATATAAACTATACAACAGAGTGAAGAAGCAAATCTGAAATAAATCAGTAAACTCTTACCCCAATATCTTAGCACAATCATCATAGTACTTCATGGAGTTTTTCACAAAACTGAAGCCATTCACATCACAGACATAGGACTGTCCATTAGCACGCAGCAAATCAAAGCCACAAACTGTTTGCTGTTTTTAACAATAAGGGTTTAAGTAATTTATCACCTTCCTTAGAATTGTTTATTCTAAACAAACTTTATATTTTAACAGGGTATTCATCTGAAAACATGACAAAAATATGACACATTTTATACTTAGTACCTTTTGTCAGTTCCATGTTAGGTTCACTCATGTCATGCAAACATCTTCCCATTTTTAACTCTGTATCCCCAAATTGATTATACCCTTCTTGCATATCCCTAGCAGTATCAGTGTTGAATGTCAAGTTCACATATGCACAAACTTAACCTTCAAGATTTACAGTATAAGCAATGAGGGGCCTACAAATTCCCCTTTCTAACAGTGATTTTCCCCTACACATAGTTTATAAGGGTGGTTGGCAAGAAATCACAAAAACATTGGAAAAAACCCCATTTTAATCAAAAATTGACAGAATAGTTTTGACACTGACATACTACTGACATCATTAGTACAGGATACTAAAAGATATTTCAACAGATTACTCTTAAGACCTCAAAGTCCACTTTGCTGATAGAGATTCAAATCCTACAGGCTCCAGAATGCCATCACGGTTACATACAGGCAAGGAAATAGGCTGAAAGCCTTTTAATGGAACAGGTGAAAGGAAGGTAAAAGACCTAGGTTTTGAACAAAGGAATTTTAAAACCATACTTCAAATAAGGACCTAGTCATATCAATACCAAATTAACATTTAATTTGTACCCACTGTAAATACTGGGTAACAAAAGTTACAAAAACTTTACTGAAACTGTGTTTGGTAATGGTAAAACCATTACCAAAAGGTGTGAAAATATTATGCATAGAATAGATACACTGTGAGCTAGCAAAGCACAACAGCAACATGTGAATTCAGGAAACCAATGCAATATAAACAACTCATCCAGAACTTTTCAGTATACTGAGGGAAGAATTTTTCTAGATTAAAAAGAGATGTTTAACTTTTCACCTTCGTAGGCATTCTGCAGCCATTACCACTGCTGGCTCTGTGCTCTAAAACCCTACAGAAGTTTCATGTAACAACTAATTAACACTAAATGTTTGATCAGATAGGAAAGTAATCAGCTTACCTTAAAGGCAAGGCATACTTTCCAAGCAATTAACTTCTCTCTTGCATTCAGGATGACTGGATACCTCACTTCTTTTCCTTCACTATCTCGTTCTACCTTGCCATCCAGAGCTGGAGACTTCCGGGCCTCAGCATGAGCATAGTCTGGACCCACTGTATACACCTGAATTGAAAAACAGGAGCTCGTGATTCAGTGTGATTAAATTATGTTACACATACAAACACATTTTGCTAAATTTATCCCAAATGGGGTAACGACTTCAAAAGATACTAGCTGCTTTCATCATTGAAAAGGTCACACCAAAGTTTCCTCCTCAATGGCATTCTCTGCCTTCAGAGAACATCCATTTGACCGCCTACAATAACACAAGAACAGTCATTATAAAACTTGATGAATAAAAATTAATTTCTCAATTATGGTGGCACAGAGGTAAAGAATAACATTTTCCTCTCAAAAACATCTGCAGAATTTGGAGAACAGGTTAATTTGAGAATTACTTCAATTTACTTATGGAAATCTGGCTGCAGGAATAAGTGATCCTCCTCATTTTTACATTTTAGACAGGACTAAACAAAGAAAAGATCTGCCCAGTTTCAGCATGACAAGGTAGGAGCTTGAGAGAACAACTGTGTTATCTCCCCACTGCAGTTTTGATGCTCACTGAAAGGAGTGGGGTATATGCTAGAAGAGACTTATCAGCAGCTGGAAAAAGTGGGCTACAGTCTCTAATTAAAAACAAAACTCCAAGCACTGATAAAAAAGCATTCAGCTAAACCAGATGATTGCAAATACCAATTTACTGAATTTGGGCAAGAGGGTGAGTTAAGAGAAGCTGCCAAATTGTTAAGAAAATCTATTTTCTTGTTAAGAAAAGTTATTATTTTTTTTCTGTGTTAAAAACCCACAGCTGCTGCTTGATGACTACACTACAAGTAGTCAAAGAGATGCCATCCTTCATTTGCATCTCTTCATGTTGCAAGAAATGTTTTGGAAAGTTGGTAAACTCTTATACAAATGTCTGTAAACTCAAATTAACCTACTGCAAAGTGTTGCACAAAATAAGAATATACATTAGAATATAGTGACTTAAAGATCAGGATTTTTCTGAGAAGATGAAAAGAGCATTCACCAAGTGATACCAAGAAGTTGATTGCAATACATAAAAGGGCTCTTTTGCCTAGGACTGGATTAGACCTCACACTCTCTACACCCACACATTTTGTCTAAATCTCTTATGCATACTGTAAAGCATTTTTTTCACATGTTTTCAGATAGGCTTAAAATAGCCAGAATGAACACAAAGTAATCGTCATACACGGTTGGCTTAACACCTATTTTGTTATTGCTCTGTTTTAGCATTATTTTATGATACCTAATCTTTATATCTGTTAAGAAAAAAATGAACAAAAGAGTGAGAATTATTACAAATAAGGTTAATGAAGGCTATTTTCTTCAACTTAATAAAATTTTAGCAAGTAACCTTTGTTTATTAATTAGCATACTAATATAGTTGGTAAAATCTATTTTAATTACAGATTTCTTTGTAACCTTTACTGTTCAGACAATATATCTAGGGAGCCTCTGTTAGCATGGGAAAGTACATGCTGCTCTGCAACTAATACAATGTAAAAAAAAAAAAAAAAAGACAGTATGTTGGGTAATAAGCCTCCAGCTAATCTACATTACAAGTACTATGTTTAGCCAGAACTCAGCTCTGTGATTAGCTAGAATCAGAATTACGTTCTTTACTAATGGACTGTATTAAAACAATTAAAATTAATCCCTGACAGAAAGATACACTATTGTCTTTAAAATTGACAAGCTCTTTGATCACTCGATTGTTCTAAATATAAACAAGAACAAGCAGTTTTCATACCTTCACGTCAGTGCCATCTGTAGGCATGAATTCCTCATAAATATAGGAACCTGTTTTTCTCACACTGCTTTCAGGCGAATAAACACTGCTTCTGCTGCCAATCTGAAAGACATATTTTTCCATTAAAAATCTCATGGGCTACTGCTTGAGAAACTTCATAACTCCTTAATATAATGCAATTGTCCTGAGAAAACATCTTCTGTACCAAATGAAACAAGATTTTGATTGTTCTCAAAATTGTTTTTGTAAGAGTCTCAAAGTGCATTCACAGTGTATGCTTCTTTTATCTTGAAGAATCTGCAGTGGCTGACAATCTACTGCAAGAAACAAGGGTTTTCATTCAATCTGCATGTTCTCCTGATATTAATTCTCTGATCTGCCAGTATTCCTAAGCAAGCAGGACATGACAGAATTACTCTGCAATCTTGTCAGACATCTACAGCTTTTTGACAGCTTTAGTACCACACCCTCACCTTTCGAAAGAGTCTCTGGCTTCCACCCCCAGCAGATGTTGGATAATAAATGTAAACATTGTGGTCCTCAGCACTAACTGGCTTTTCTACAAAGGGCTTTTGGAAAATTTCTCCATTCACTTCCACGTGATCTTCTCCTTCAATCAAGTTGCATTCTGAAGAAACAGTGCAAAGAACTGAGATGTAATAGTGTGCTAATGGAACGAAATTTTTAAGAGATCTGAATTAATTTTGCAGGTTGAAATAAAAATATTGTATTACATTTTCATTTCTCTGATTTGTTACTGACTGCACAAAGACCTGATGATCATGTCTGCTGCACCAGGTCTAGATTATGTTATTTTAATACTATGTTCCTGAATCTCTGTTGATTCCTTCAGTGTCAGACAGGAAACAGACTTCTGCAGATGCCTAAGCTTGGATGGGTGGTATATTTTGGAAGTATTTTGGAGAATGGGAAGCACTGTTTGTCTTCTTCTTCAGTGCCTTTTTCTGAACTATCAGGGAGATAGCAGGTGGACAGTGCACATCCTGTGGTGTCAGATGCCCAGTACCTTCCATAGGCTGAGAACTGTCTCATACTATGTGATTCATGCACCCTGCACAGAAGATTCTCTGGTATCTGGGATCAGCAATCTCTTCAATCCTGGTTAATTGCATGCAGAAGCTTTTTATTTGACTTTAGTAGCACAAAAGTGTCCTATTCTCTGATTACACAGACATTTTAATGTGAAATTCTCTTGTCTTGACCTATCATTGCAATCTCTTACTGTTGATGTAAGTTTTCATTTTAGTAGAAAAAGTTAGTTTGTTTTCAGCTACACAAAAAATTAATTCCAGTTTATACTCAGAGTATATCACCTGCAGATATGTCTGGAATAGATTTCCCTTACATGGCTGCTTATACTTAAGAAGGGAAAGTATTCAATAACCTGACTTGTTTCTGCCTTCTAAGTAAAAATCACTAATTATTGTGGTAAATGTAACATCATGAATGCTGCTCTCTTTGCTCACGTTAGAATCTCAGTTTGAGTAAGGAGGCCCTTAATATTCTAGCTGTTTTATGATATCTATAAGATGTAGGATGTCAGAATCATACTTTTCAGATGCAAACCTGTACTGCCTTTGGCTGGCACGGAGTTAATTTTCTTCCCTGAAGCTGATATGGTGCTATGTTTTGAACTTGTGACCAAAACTAAAGTCTTGATGTTTTCATTAAGGCTAAGCAGTGCCTACACAGCCTCAACCCCGCTCCTTTTTCGTACTGCCCCCCACAACAGTACTTAAAATGCTGGAGGAGAAATTAAACTCTGCATAAATCAATTGTCTAGCCAATGAAATTTAGCTTTCCACTACTTATGTACTGTTCTCCAGTGGAAACAAAAAGATGTTCATAGTTTAGCCATTGTATTTTTTTACCTTGGGGATTGTTTGGATCACGGTTCAGAACTGCATAGCGAGGAAGTAAAATGCCTTCAGCTTTAAGAATACCATAGACTTCTCTTCTAAAGAAAAGAACAAATGTTGCAGAGTGAGCCAGCAAATCCTGTTAATATTTGCATTTTACAGTCCACAAGTAAAGGAGGAGAAAAATAAACACAATATTTTTTTAAATCACACAGGGTAAGATTACACATATAATACTCTACTTACTAATATAATGCTTTAAGGTCACCGACACAGCTGTACCTTTGCAGTGATCTCTTCAACATCAATAACAATGCGATTTGCAAAGCCAGTCCTTTCCTCTCCTCTCTGGCAGTGCAACAACAATTTGCATAGAGCAGTTCTCTTGTTAAAGGAGATTGTTAACATGAATGATTGAAAAAATTAATACAGAACAGCAAATGAAGGCATTCAAAACAGCAAGTCTGCTCACTGCTCAGGAGTCTCCAGTGTTTATGTATTCAGTTTGCTATTGTTTTATTAATATTTATTATGCATGACTGCAGCTCCAAAAGAAAATTCACTTTCAATAACCACAGGATCTTTGAGTACCAACAAGTTCTGTCAAGTATCCTCTTTTCAGAAAAAAATACCATTAGTAAGTCACATGAATTGTACAATTATAGGAGCTTGTACAGCTATGTACATACACAGCTATGCTATATATATTTTCAGAGTTTAAAACTTTTTATTTGTTAAGCTTTAGAAAAATGTATCACCAAATTTCTAACTTGGTAAATCTTCAGATGTATCAATATAAAAGCAGCAAAAAAACCCCACACGTGAAGACACATCCCAGGAAATCATGCACACATTAATGAAGCATAACATTCACTGTAATTTTATTTAGACTACTGTACAATTATAGAATCACAGGTTTGAATTGGAAGGGATGTCAAAAATCTAGTTCCAACCCTTTCTCCATGGGCAGGGAAAATACACTGGAACTGTTGCTATGCAATAACAACAAATCCTTCCAGTCTTTGAGAAAAATAGCTTGCTTTTACAGGCAATCGGTGTTACTTACCTGTCTTGTATGTGATACTGCATATTCAAGTCATTGATTATGAATGGATTCCTGAGTTTTGCATAGGCAACTGCTTTGTCCAGTGGAAATCCTAAAATGTTTATTAAAGCAAATAAATTAAAATCACAAAACAATACCAGTAAATAGTTTGGAACTTTAGTATTCAAGCTTTAAAATACAACTGGAGACTTAAGTGCAGGGATGCTCCCTCAAGTATAGACAAACACAATATCAGTTTAAGACAATCATGAAACTACAGCCTAATTTCTGTACAGTCTGCCAAAAGTAGTGTTCCTGTCTTCAGTTCCCTCCTCCTCCTCACTCCACATGCCCTCCACTTCCACAAGGCCAGAACTAAGGCTTTGTTTGAAAATATGATTTTTAATTTCAGCCTACCCCTCTTTGGTTCATTCCTTGGCCTTACAATAAAACTCAGATACTAGCAGAGATACAGAAATTCAGAGACTCAACACTTCCACTGAGAAAGCAGAATGCCTCCACAATCACCGGACCAAGTGTTAGGTCACCATTTCCACTGGCTCCACAAGTATTTGCCAATGGAACAGCTATTTCAATACCATGTCAGATAGGACTTTCTCAAGCAATGGAAACAGTATCATTTCAAAAGCTTGTATTTTAAAAGTCAGTTGTATTATAGTAACAAGACAAATTAATCACTTGCTAGGAAAATACAATAAAACTACATGATAAAAAAACATAAAAGCACCCTCAAATAGCTTAAATAGTTTAAATGTTAAAAATATTTATGGTATCATTAGAAGATTTACCTTTAGAGTGAAAAGAAATGAGACAGTCACACAAAGGCCAGTTTTCTACCGGCTCGTTCAAGATAACATCCTCTTCAAATATCACCACAGTTATATACTTAAACATGGAGAGGCGCTCAAGAATTTCTTTCATTGGTTTGGACTTTGATTTCTTAGCCATTGAACAAATCCCAACCGCAATTTGTCTTTCTGGTGGCTGAAAAGGAGGCGGGGGGGAAGGTAAAATAATTATGTTTTCTTAGAACACAACAGGGTTTTAGCAGCACAATGCCAGAGTAGACATTTTCCATTAAAATTCACCTAATACTAACCTTTAGTTTAGTATTTAATCAGCTAAATTGCTAGCAGACAACAAAACGCAGCATGACAGCATATCATAATGCATCCTTATGAAAAGTGCCTCGAACAGGAAACTGTTTATTAGCTATATGCTACTTTTTGAGTATTATATCAGGAAAAAACAGACAAAGATCAAAATCTAAGTCAGAAATGTCAAATTGGAACATCATCATACTTACAGATTACTCTAAAATTAACTAGCAATTAATTTTTTAACTATGTAATTTTTCTATGTCTACTTAATAGTCACAAGGCTTCTCATCACCTAATATTACAAGTCAATTATGAACAGGAAAACTAGTGAACCAGAAAATGCTATTCTAGACTTCTGAACTCTTTAGTGCATAAACAGTTTCACCCTTCTTTAGTATTCTCTATATTTACCTTCATGTTAAACCTTCAATAATTTCATTCCCCCAGGGGTATTTCTAAAGGCAACAGCCAAACTATCCCCGTTTAAAGCAAGCAAACAAAAAAACCACAGAACAATCCTTTAATTCAACTTACTGCTTTTTTGAAACACAGCCAACTACCTTCCCTTGCTAAAACAAACTTGCTGAATTGAGCTGTCTGAGCTGCTAATTTTGCACTACTACTTTGCATTTCCCAGAAGAGGTTTAGCAATATTGTCTTGAATTTAAATTTTTCAGGCACATTTATAATCAGTAAAAATTTAATCTGACTAGTCCCTAAAGTGAAATGACTAAAAGAAAAAGTGAAACACAGTTAAAAAAATGCCATGACAACTCATGCATAATAAAATTAAGAGTTTGTCTTAAAGAAACCAAAAATTGGTAAGTACAGTGCTAAAATGCAATTCAGAACACTCTATGAGGACAATAAACTAAGGTATAGCTTCAGATTAACGTAGCATGCACTTCCTATACACCAAGACAGGGAAGAACAAACTAAAACATGAAAAGTAATTGTGAAGCAGTTGACAACACACAAAAGAAAAATTCTCAATAATTTTTTGCTATCAACTATCCAAATAAATAAAATGAAGGCTTATGCCATCAAGTTTGTTCCCAGAATCCAAATTAAGTCTGCAAAGCAGGCACAGCAACCTCAGTTGCCATGAAACTCTGTATTAAAATCAAGCACATGTACTTTAAAGTTCAAAGTATACTTAATTTTCAAGTGATCTGTATTTCCAAACATTACTGACAGATTATTATCTGAATATGAACAATTTCTCCATTTACACCAACATTTCAGTATTAAACTTATGTGAGCTTTTGCCATTTCAATGAAAAATAATGCTAGAGAACACACAGAACAGTACACAGGTGCCTCTAAAGTACATACAGAGTCATACTCTTCCTCCTCGTCTTCCCCATGGTCATAGAAGTGTTCATAATCTGTCGATCTGGCTGAATCCAATAATCCTTCTCCATCTTCTCCACCTACGAAGAATCTAGGGGGATCATTCTCCGTTGCATTAACTGACATGGTTACAAGATCTACAGAGATCTACATGGAAACTGCAGCCTCTCTGGTAGCCGAGATACTGGGCATGTTTCCCGCTGACCTGGGAACAATAATGTCCCTGCTTCTCGATGCTGCTTGTGCGTTGTGATCACGTTGTCTACCAGGCACTGTTTAACTGGTATCATCTGCTCATTATTGGTTTGAGTTGCTGCTTCCCTGAGATGATACAACTTTTTAACCTGCAAGAAACATACAAACAAACAAAAGAAAAGGCACACTTGATAAACAGACATAAAATAAACCCTTTTCATTTAGAAAAAGTGTTTGGACATTTGCATACCTATGAACAAAGCATAAGAAATACAACCGTGCAGACTACACACAGTCTACACTTTTACAGGTGTGTTTAGAGCAGGGGAATAATTTCAAAATTGGTATCAAACTACTGATGCAGAAATTTTAAAAATAGACAATATAACAGAAGTAAAAACTGGCAAATGGATTTTTTTTCTTAAGAGGGGTAAGCTGCAGGGTATATATTTTATGTGAAAAATAAACAAACAAAAATATTTTCCAATATTTAACTCACTATCCCTGTTTCTGTTTTTTCCACATAAATTTTGTGAACAAATGGCAAACACACAAAAGTGCTAACAAAAACTATAAAGTCACAATTAGGACTATTCCTAAATAGAAATCTAATCTTTCAAAGCCTGAGTGAATCTTCTCTGTGAAAGCAGAATGTATGTGACAGCTTGATGTTTTTTTTATTTTCAACAAAGCCCTGTCTTGTTTTCACAGTGAAAAATTAATAATTACAGAGATGTACACTCACACTGTCTTCTGCCAAAAGTACTTCTAACCACTAATGTATCAGTGAAGTGGACACATATTGTACCCTTTTAACCCGTCATGTGAAAATAAAATATTGGCAAAATAACTTGTACACAAAACCAGAGACCCAGAGCTCAGGCATCCGTTGTTTTAAGTAGGTATCTGCTGCTTTAAGTTGTACATGGCTTTATAACATTAATTAAAATGCATCACTATTACTTAGAGAATTAACAAGCAGTTACTTGTTTCGAAGCTCATCTCATCCAACGGGTTTAGGTTAAGTTGTTTATTAGTCAAATCATTACACAAGTGCCATTCAACAATGATGTCTCAGCAGAACTGAATTTGTCTTTAAATACCAGTCAAAATTACTTCGGCTGTCCTATGAACTAAGTGAAGCAACAGTAAATTCCCAACGGGGATCAACCACTCAGCTTCCTGGGAAAGGGGATGGTAAACAAAGCAAAAATTGCCCAGAAAGAATCTGTCCTAATTCAGAGGTTAAGTGTGGGTCAACAATACAGATGTTCAAGATTCAAAGCTGAAACTGAGGTCTGAACATCACGATCCTGGACTGACGACAGAGCATTAAAAAGATTTATTTCTTAATACTTTTTGCTATGTATCTGCTCTCCTTCAATTCTGCTAACAAAAAATTACTTTCCCTTAGAATGTGAAACTGCAGCTGTTTGCCCTTTGAGCAAAAAGAACAAAATGAAATTTCAAACACCTAATTCATCTGGCTCCTGTGAGAGTTAGGAATTGGGTGTTAAGGTAAATCAATCCTGTTTATGATAAGGTGACAAAAGTGAGCTTTCCGAATCCTGTTTCTAGCAAGCTTCAAAAAGGCAGAAGTTATTGCCAACATGTACTGGCAACCATAGAATTTTGTAAAGGTGTTAAAACCAAGACACCCCCCCCCCCAAAAAACTCTGGTAAAGCCTGAAAAATAAGTTTAATAATTCCTCTTGTATCAGCTTCCTCCCATGACCCAAATTCTGTACACTGGAAACAATTTTCTTAATAGTTTTTTAAAACGTGAAGTTTTGCCATAAAGAAGGAAGAACAATGACCTGATGCAGATAAGCAGGAGGTCTTAAAACAGCTTTTAAAGCTTTCTTTCCCCTACCTCTTCCTATAGTGCACTTTGTGAGGGCAGTAGAACTTGTGACGTTTGTGTGCAATTAATAATTAGTTATTTCATGGGGATCTCTGGTACTATCCAAGTCTGTCTGACCCAAAAGGATTACTTCTCAAAGCAAGTGGAAACCATACAAATAGATTGAAGGGAAAGCGCAATATATTTGTCTAGAAATGACACAAAGCTATAACTTGACAAGCTTAATTCCTTAACAAACCTGTCTGAAACTCAGTGTCCTGCTACCTTCCTCATTCATCAATCTGGAGACTGTTGGTGTTACTGGTGGCAAGTGCACTTGTGTCAAGAGAAGCTTCACTCGTGGAAAAGAGACTTTGAACAGCCACAAAACGTGTCCATTCCAAGCAAACTATTTTCCTCAAGATTAACATTGTTCACTCGTCTGAAGGCGGATGAATAACTAGATTGCCACTCCATGCTACTGTCACTAGGCCCCAGGTATTCATACAGTTTATGAAAATAACACCAAAGACAAAGGATCCAGAAAAGATACTGACAATTTTCAGTCTTGTAAGCTACTACCTGAATTCACTGAATTGCATATAAACTGGCATTCTGACTGCTGATGGTGTCCAGCTTATCTGCCCAACAGCAGAAGCTGTAAACTACTGTCATTAGCATAAATTTGTGTCAGGATATATTTAAGAAATTAGTCATTTTTTTAGAATTAATGCTTTCAGAGATAGGAATCAAAATTCTCTGCAAATGCTACAGTAAAAATGAGATATCCCCTTCTTTCTTGTGGTTTGTGAAATACAAAGAAACCAAGAAAAGAGACAAGTAAAAAGAAATATTAGAGAAAGAAAGTGACTGCAACTACAATGAACAACTTTCACAAGTCTTCTAAAAAACATCTACAGTTATCTGACATAAAAAAAGCAGTAAGACTGCACTTGAATAAACACATGGGCTTCAACTTGTACAGCAAGGAGAAATAATAAATGGCAGAGCAAGAAGATGGAGCTGCTTCCTGCTTCAAAGGTACTGCCAGTGCTGATAGGGGAAGCTTCTACTACATGATGTCCTATGTAGAATTTCATCTTCCTGCCCCTGGAGCAGGGAAGAGTCTTCCCAGCACCATTTTTCTGTTTTAAGAAGTGAGCAGCAGTGCAATACAGGGGCAGAGACACTTTGCATTAGATCTTCTCATAGCTGGTGCATGAGCACAAGCCTCAGACAGTCAAGGTCAGAAGATAACGTGTTTGTCTCAACCATGAAAGACTGCAACGTAAGCAAGATAAAACCCACGGCTTTGTGCTGGAATTTACATTGACCCACTTCCAAAGAGATAGCAGCAAGAACATCCAGGCAGCAATCTCCTACCGTGCAATGACCTCTTCAGGCAAAATTAACTAGACTATGTTCTCTTCAAACTTTACATGGGGTTTCTGTTTTACAGCTCACAGATTTAGAAGTCTTCAATGATTTTGAGAAATGCAGTGTTGCACCTTAAAAGGATTTTCAATGAAATGCATGGTGTGTTCACAACATGAACTTATAAGAACTCCAATGTTCACTTCAGTGCTGCACTACAGACTTTACTTCTAACAGAACATTTCTCCATTTCCACAAGAATATTCTAAACGAATTCTACAAGTATATTCTGAGAGAATAAGCCAAAACACAGACCTTGGTAAGTGTTAACAGATATACCCACAGTTTTTCTGTCCCCATTCCACATCTTTCAGCAGCTCAGGAATCCAGCCCTTATGTTTCCCATGCTTACTTAGACCATAAAGATTAGCATTCCAGTAACTGTCAGCAACAAATCAGCTCAACACAGCAGCAATGGTCTGAACAGTCCTGAAAAAGGGGCTCAAAGTTTTAACAGCCATGTTTTGAATACTAATAAAAATACACACAACTCCTGTACAAACAGAAGCATTTCACCAGATTTTCCTCTGTGTCTTTACAGTTATCAGAAGAACAAACATAACATTGCCCCTACTGCACACTAATGAAAACGAAAGGGAACAAAACTGGAGTAAAAATGCTTCTCATCTGCTATTGCAAGAAAAAAAAAATCCAGCACATCAAGCATTAAATAGGTATAAAACACAGCCAAACATTCAGGAAAACAACTTTTCAAAATGCCATTATATCATAACAACTACAAAACACTTAGCGAGATTTACATTGTGGAATTTAACAAACAGGTAACGGTACAGGAATCATAAGTGTTGCTCATCTGTTACATGATTCTACACATATATATACATAACAGTAACAAAACAGACCACTCCCCTGCACTCTACCCCTATATTGCTCCTTTTAAAGTTCCAATTTTTACCTCTGTAGGCACATTCCAACTGCATCCCTTACCAGCTTCCTCCAATTTAAATTAGGAAGTTAAACCCCAAATAATGTTAATAGCAATTTTTCAGGTAGTCTCAAGTGAGTTGAAAAAAAGTTTTCAACATTTTCCTGCTAGAACCACTATAGCCTAACATTTTCATTAACAGTACATTTAACAGCAAAAATGTTTGCCTCACTCCTGTTGAGGCATTTCACTCATTTTGAAATTCTAATTCTGCACCATGATTTATGGTGTAACAAACCACCAAAGACAGACAGTTTGCTGGGTTGCTGGTGAAGCAGAAAGTATGGTGACAGGGCAAGGGGGAAGCAAGGGGAGACAGTGAGAAGAAAGAACCAGTGGAGTCTGAGAGCTGACAGCACCAAATGCAATCCAAAGTGCTCTCCATGGATATGTAACACCTTTCTACAGATGATTCAAGGAAACTTGATAATACTTCAAACTTAAACGTGAGATTTTAGAACCAGTAACAAGAGCCCACACTCAAGAATAGCATTTCTTCAGGTCTGACAGATGACCAAGAAGAGACAGGAGTGCAAAAAGGCAGAAAAAGAGGGAAAGAATGCTAAGACACAGAAGCTGCTGAAGAGAGCGCTGTGAGAAAACCATACTTGACCTGTTTATTGCTGTACCTTACACTGCAAAAGATACATATTCTCTCTAATTTAAAATGTCGGCTGTGTCATACAGTCAATTATAAAAAAAATTAACATTTACACATGGATGATGTTCTGTTCTACCACACATCCTGTGAGATGCTGAGTGGCAGCTGTCAGCCCCTTACTTAGACAGACTAAATTTAAACAAATTTGTTGAGCAGCTCTATCCCAAAGAATGTTACAGTTACAGCCCGATAATACTTTTGCACAGTAACAAAAAACCCCCAAACCAACCCAAACCTCAACAAAAAACCCACAAACAAACAAATCAAACAGTAATCACAGAAGACACAAAGGGATATAAAGGTTTCCAATAATTACTGGAATTTATAAGGTCCAGCTATGCAACAACAAACTGAGAAAAGTCTTCTGCTCTCTTCACTAAATACAAACTTCAACAGCCTTATGAAGTTTATCACCACCTTCTGTAACTCAGCTCTGCTCAATAAAATCAAACAAGTAACTGCGCTGATGTACAACAGAAGCGGCAAGAAACAGGTTAAAAACAATTAACAAAGGAAAAAGATACATTACAAAGACCAGATCATACAGCATTACAAAAACTGCTACAATCCCGCATCAAACAAACATCAAGCTCTAGATTTCACAAAACACTAACATCATGAAGAACCTTCCAGAAGAGAAGATTTGTTGCTTTCAGCCAGGCACTGGTTTCTCTCTACAAGCCAAGCACAGCCCTCAGACTGAGCGATGAAGAGCCATAATCTATGCAAATAACAACTGTGAACATATCAAGTTCCTTCTGTCTTCAGGAACACCGCAAATATTTTTTATAATGCATTACTATATAGTAGTTTATGTACTCCACCGAAAAAATTACAGCAGTTTCCATTCTAAAAGAGACTACCCACCTTTCCATTCCAGTTTACTGAGACCTGAAGAAACATTCCTAGGAATGAAGAAGAGCCACGAGCCTTCCTTGCCAGGTAAGTGCCTGCATGGAGTTAACTAGCAGAATTTTGGTAGTGGGTGAGCTGCAGGGGGAGGCTTCTGTGAGAAGACATGAGAAGCTGACCCTATGTTGGATAGAGCCAGTTTCACCCAGCCCCAAGATGGATCTGCTGCTGCCCAAAACTGAGCCCATCAGCCACCACTGGTGGTGCCTCTGCTATAACATATTTAAGAAAGGGTAAAAAACACTGCACAGCAGCTGAGAGGGGTGAGAACAACTGAGAGAAACAACTCTGCAGACGTCAAAGTCCTTAAGGAAGGAGGGGGAGGAGATGCACTAGGCATACAGATTCTCCTGCAGCCCATGGAGAAGAATCACTGGAAAGCAGGTGGTGCCCCTGCAGCCCATAGAGGTCCACAGTGGAACAGATATCCACCTGCAGCCCACAGGGAACCCCATGCTGGAGCAGTGGGATGTGCCCTAAAGGAAGATGTAGCCCACAGAGAGCCTATGCTGGAGGTCGTAGCAGCCCATGGCCAGAACACATGGACAAGTACACTGTTCCAAGCTGGAGCCCTGTTTTATACAGGAGATCATATTCAGTATTCAAGTGGTTCTTTATGAACAAATAAATTTGTATATTAGAAAAGTTATGTAAAAAATGTGTCACTGTATAGTTAAGAATCATAACATGGTTTGGGTTGGAGGGTACCTTAAAGACCATCTAATTCTAACCTCTGTGCTGCAGGCAGGGAACCTTCCACTAGACCAGGCTGCTCAGGGGTCCCATCCAGCCTGCCCTTGAACACTTCCAGGGATGGGTCATTCACAGCTTCTCTGGGCAACCTGAGCCAGTGCCTCACCATTCTCTCAGTAAAGAACTTCTTCCTAATATCTAATCTGAATCTTTCCTCCTTCAGTTTAAAGTCACTCCCTCCTCCTTGTCCTATCACTACAGGCCTTTGTAAAAAGTCCCTCTCCAGCCTTCTTGTAGTCTCCCTTTAGGTACTGGAAGGTACCCCAAGGTCTTCCCAAAGCCTTCTCTTCTCTGGGCTCAAAAGCCCCACTCCCACAGCCTGTCTTCACAGCAGAGGTGTTCCAGCCTCTGACCATCTTCATAGCCTCTGTACCTGCTCCAACAGATCCAAGTGCTTCTTATGTTGGGGACCCCAGGGCTGGATGCAGCACTGCAGGTGAGGTCTCACCAGAGCAGAGTAGAGGGCAAGAATCCCCTCTCTTTTCCTGCTGCCCACACTGCTTTGGATGCAGCCCAGGACACAGCTGCCTTTCTGGACTGCCCGTGCACGTTCCTGGGTCACGCTGAGCTTCTTGTAAACCAACACTCCCAAATCCTTCTCTTCAGGGCTTCTCTCAATGCATTCTCTGCCCAGCCTGTATTTGTGCTTGGGATTGCCCCAACTCAGGTGTAGGACCTTGCCCCTGTTGAACTTCATGAAATTCACACAGGCCCACTTCTCAACCCTGTCCAGATCCTTCTGGATGACATCCCTTCCCTCCATCCTGTCAAATGCACCACAAAGCTCGGAGTCATTAGGAAACCTGCTGAGGGTGCCCTCGGCCCCACTGTCCATGTCACCAACATAGATGTTAAACAGTGACAGTCCCAGTAGCAACCCCTGAGGAATGCTGCTCTTCTTGGTCTCCACTTGGTCAAGCTGTTGACTCAACACTTGGAGTGCGACCATCCAGCCAATTCCTTACCCACTGAGTGGCTCATCTATCCAATTCACACCTCTCTGGTTTAGAGACAAGGATGTTGCAAGGACAGTATCAGATGCTTTCCACCAGTCCAGGTAAATGATGTCAACCCACCAGAGCACTCAAAATGTGTTTTCTGGGCAAAAAAAACCTCCTGCACTGTTCCTCACACTCCATCTTCAGCAGTAACATAAACATGCAGGTGCTTTTACACACAGTCTTTTCAGCTTGGTGGTGAGGACATGCTTCTGATAAACAGAAAACAGGCACTTGAAATCACTGAGACAGGACGGAACAGAAACAGTATTTGTCCTGTTCCAGTCAACTGTTCTAACCACTAGGTTATCAATCCAATTTCATTTTCCCAATGCACCATTTATTGGCTTTTCCTACTGGAAACAACTCTGGTCAGTGTTATTTGGAGGTGCACTCAACATTCCTTTAAATTCTATGCAGGTAGGCTAACTGACCAGCTGCAGTTGCCTAAATCTTTCCTGGAGACCTGATTATTTTCCAAGAACTTTGCCACCTAAATGTTTGTGCCTTAAGTAAGACTTCAGTCTGACCCTCCATATTACAGTAGCTCAGGGGACAGAGCTCCTGAGAAGAGTTGCACCTTGCCATGTGATAAAAGTCCATCTGGTAAATATCACTCTATTACCTACAAGACAGAAAGGCAGTATTTTTACTTTTTTAAACTGGCAAACTACTACCAGTTGACATCTGGCACGTGTTACAAGTGTCTCCTGCACAATCAGAGAACAGATAACCTTCACATTCATTAACCTCCAAGTTCCTTTCTAAATCAAACCCTGTCAAACACATCACACAAAGGCATTTATATTTCTGGAAGGTTTGAATGTTTCAGGAAAGGCTGGCCTCCAAGTTTCTAGAGATCCCACTCAAAGATGTCAAAACAGCTTCTCCAGATTCGCACAAAGAACTTTATTTCAACTCTGTAGAGATGAAAGAGTTTTGGCCAAAAAAAAATCTATACCACAGTTCACTGGGTTCAGCCTCTGGAGCTCTGATTTGTTCTATCCACAGCTGCCAGAAGGAAGAAACTTTCTCCACAGAATGAACCAGACAGACAAGACAAGCCAACCAGTATAAAAATCCATATTTCTCATATACTGAACCGTAAAAAGCATATTATATCACCGTATGCCACAAAAAAAGTTTTACATAGCAAGAAGAGCTTTGTTACTGGTTGAATCAAAACTTGTTTATTGAGACAAAGACGGATTCAATAGAATTTTGATACTGCGGGGGGGGGCAGTTTGGCGTGTTACTCGAGTAGAAAGATGACGCAGAAGGGAAGCAGAAGGGATGCAGAAGAGGTGGAAACAGAGAAGTTTAAATAGATAAGGGGACACAATGCTTAGAAAGACACAACACAATGCAGAAACACTGTGACAAACGACTGTGAGAGGACCTGAGATAGAAATGGTACGGATGAGAAAGGAAACCACTTACTTGAAGTGGTTGTGACACTGATCTCCCCCAGTCTTACTGCCTGAGTGAGGAGAGTCACTAACTAGAGTCAACTATTACAACTGCCAACCCCCCAGCACTTTCAAATCTTATGATACCTAGTAGAGTTCCCAGGTTCAGGAAAAAAACCACCAGAGGCACAAAGAGAAACGTTAACACGGGGCCACTCACCCCCTCATTTCTCCCACCTCTGCTTCCAACAGGTTATTTTATAGTTCCAACATGTAATCGATTCTAGTTAAAACATGCAATCGATTCTCAGATTTGGGGCTAACCCTGCTTTTTCCTTTTTTTTTTTTTTTTTTTTTTTTTTTTTATAGACAGCAATCTCTCTTGCCCCCAGCTAATTCTACACTGAATTCATCATCAGTTTTGGATCATCAGTTTTGGGACGTTAACAGCGTGCCCCAAACGCAGAGATCCGAAAGATGCTCCACTACCCCTCCCCGTTCCCGTTTCGGCCGCACTACCTTTCACCCCGCGCCCGCCTGCACCAAAAGGCTTAACCCGACATTCCGTGCGCTGCAAACCCGGACGCCCGGTGTGGAAACCCTCTCCGAGAAACAAAGCGCTGCACAGAGCGCCCAGGGCCGTGCCCTCCGCATCCCTCGGAGCAGCTCCCAGCATTCCCAACGGACACAGACGTGCCCCTGCGCTCGGGACCGGGCCCCCCGCACTCTCGCCCTGGCCCCACCGCTACAGGAGACTCCCGCTCGCCGCAGACACCGCGCCCCCGGGGACTGGAAGGACGGGGAAGGAAGGGGATGAGGAACAGGAGGGGAACAGGAGGGATCGGCAGCCTCACCTGCCCGCGGTGGCCCCGCGGCCCCTTCACGAGGCGGCTCCGCCGCTGCCCCGCCCCCTCTTCCCCTCCCCCCTTCTCCCTCCCCTCCCCCTCCCCTCCCGCCACTTCCGGGGGCGCCACAAAAGTCCCGGGGCGCCGCCGCGGCCGCCGCTGCGGTTGTGCGTCTGCCGGTACCTCGTGCCGCTGGGCTGGTACCTCGGTACCTCTGCGGGAGCAGGTGGGTGCCCAGGGGCGCGGCGGTGCCCGGGCGGTGCCGGGCGGTGTCTCTGCGGAGGGGGCGGCGGGGGGAAGGCGGTGGCGGGCAGCAAAAAGGTCGCGTCGGCGCCGCTCAGCGCATGCGTGGGGGGGGCTCGGTCGCGTAGCCCCCGGGGGACGGGCCGCGCGGGAGCGGCGCTCCCAGCGTGCCCCGCGCGGTGCATGCTGGGCGATGTAGTCTCGCGGGCGGGCGGGCGCCTTCCCGGCGGCAGTTCCGCGTCCGGGCATTCCGCACGGCGCCTGGCGCTACCGCGGGCGGCGAAGCGCTGGTTTCGAGTTCCTACCCACTGGGTCTCTCAGAAGACGGCCCCAGCCCTCTGTTGAGCTCCCACAGGCCAGGGAGGGATGTAGGGGAATGTGCCTGTCTGATTTACAGGTTTTTGGAAGGCTGTGTTCCTGAAGCTCTGTGCTAAAGGGAGCCCGCAAGAGAGCTGGAGAGGGACTTTTTACAAGGGTGTGTAGTGACAGGACAAGGGTGAACGGCTTCAAACTGAAAGAGAGAAAGTTTAGATCGGATATATGGAGATATTCCTGACTGCGAGGGTGATGAGGCACTAGAACAGGTTCCCTGAAGAAGCTGTGGATGCCCCATCCCTGGAAGTGTTTAATGCCAAGTTGGATGGGGCTTTTAGCAACCTGGTCTAGTGAAAAATGTCCCTGCCAATGTGAGAGGGTTGGAACTGATGATCTTTGAGGTCCCTTCCAACCCAAACCATTCTATGATTCAGGGTTCACTGGGGAATTCCCATTTCTGATAGGAATTGCAGACAGAGGTAGGGGAATTAGTTGGAAGCTGGTCTAAAACAATAGTTTTACAGGGACAAACTATTTTGCAGAATTGTGATTGTGCGTAGGAGAAAATGGGCATTAAAGGGTAAAATAACCAAGTGTTAGCAGGTACGATTGTTTTAGCCAAGACACTAGAGCAAAAAGAGCTCTGAATATATGGAAGTTTCATTCTCTTGCCAAAATACTTCCCTTGACTGAAAGGCAGTGAATTCTTTTCCAGCTTCAAAGGTACTAAAAATTGATTGCTCTTCTTATGTCTTTGATTTTTAGACTACCAGATACATTATGAGTTTTGATAGCCATAGCATATGAATTATCTGAATAAACAACAAAACTAGGAGGTTTTATAACTTGTTATTGTCAGGGCTGGTTTGTTTATTTGTTTGTTTTTAAGAGTGGTTTAAACCAAGTAAATTAGGTATTGTGGGAAAAGATTAGTAGGGACGCAAGAAAATAAATATCCAGGAAGGAAGCTCATATAACGTTGTCCTCTTAGGCTGCAATCCAGCAGACTGTTGAAGCACTTAAGAGTTTGCTGGATCAGGATCCTACTAAATTAAAGCGTGTGGATGCTACATAGTATATTCTTTCTTCCTTGTCTTCCCTAAGCTGTTCCAAACCCTTATAGCAGAAACTGCTCTTGCAGGAGTGAGAATGGGTCTTCTGTTTAGCTGAAGTATCAGCTTAAATGCATTGTGTTGCTGTGCAACTTAATTTTGTTAGGATCGTTCATTTTGTACTACATGGAGAATATTCACTGTTTCAGGCATGACTTTCTGAAGCACTGGAAGAATAAAGATTGTTGTGGTAACATCTTTTCCTGCCACATGTGAAAGTCTGTGTCAAGCCAAACCAGCCTATCGTCTCTGTGGTTAAGTCATAGGTCATACCTGGCTAGTTTTGACCTCAGGCTGTGCACAGGTAACTTAAATGTAGGACTGGCCATCAGGAAAATCCTGAATGAAACTTGAATACTTACCCCTGGCAGCTGGGATATTTTAATTGCCCTTCACCAGTGCTCTTTTGCTGTCAAAAATAACAGTTAAGTGACTTCTAAATATCAGAAACATGAATTTATTTCATGGCAGCCTCACCTTCCTTTCTGCTGTTAGTTAGTCAATTTACCAACCCAGTCCATTGGTTTGGCTTGTGCTATCAGATGTAAATTTACAGGAAGCTGCTGTGTTCTGGCTCCTCTCCTTCCCTGCTCTGAAACACCCTCTTTCCTCACAGGCAGGACTGTGGTGGCAAAAAGTGGATCTGTGCTAGTTGTCCCAGGTACGAAAATTTCGCTTTAAAACACTGATGTTGTATGTCAATAGACTTGGCTGGTTTTGAAAGCCAGCTCTGGGTTGTAGAAAAATTATTCAGTGGGGCAAAGGTCTTGTCGCATTTGGAACATGAAGTTGCCATTAATAACACAGCAGTGCTTGGCCCAGTTATACATTTAGATTATGTTATTCTGTAAATAACATACATTTTATTTCTGAGAGGAATGGAGTAAAGCAGGCATAAACACTCTTAATAGCTCTTTGCTCCCTTCCCACCACCTGCATAGTGAAGGTAGGTGAGAATCTATAAAATGAAAACCCAGACATGTGTCTTACACATTTTGCTTTCAAATAGCATCACATGTACATTCCAGAGTGACTGGATACTGTCACTTCCCCACAATTATATGCCAGTTAGCAGGTATGGCAGACAAACTACCTACTCTTCTTAGCAGGTTATGTTGTCACAGTCCAGCCCTGGGATGCTGGCAAGATAAGGAAGAAATTTGCTGTGGAAGTTTAAAGCTGGCTTGCTGCCAAGTCTCCAAAACTTGACAGCAGAGCCTGCTTCCTAGAGAGGGGAAAAAAATCAAACAGCCAAACTATAGCAAAATATATATATTTTACATATAAAACAGATATATACAGTGAGAATACTATATACCTATAACCCCAGAAACCCCAAATAGCTTCCTAAAAGGGAAGAGGGGAAGGGAGAAGGAAAAAAAAGAGCAAAAAAAGGACGCAAAGGGACAGAAACAAAACAGGTATGCACAATCTAAAAACCCGGTAACCAGTAGACTAAAGAACTGGCAAAATCTCACCACTTCCCTTGAGAAAGCAGGACAGTCAGACCTGGCCCAGCACCCTCCCCTCCTGCAGCGGCAGACAACAGCAGTCGATACAGGCCTCAACTTCAGAAAAGCAATACCACGTAGGGACCTACTGTTCTTGAACCTCGCCGGAAGAGAAGAGAGCGAGGTCTCTCCGGTCGGCTTTATTTATACCTCAGGTTACGTAAAGGAATAGCATGGAATACTTCCTTGGTCACCTCCCTAGTTCCTTCCTGGTTACAAACTGGTCTCCAGGAAGGCCTAGGGTGAAAACTATCACATTCGCTTAATGCTGTGGATAAATAGCATTCACTATGACATGGCAGACTCCAAGCCTTATCCTGCTCCTGTAGACATTGATCAAGCTGCTGTTTCATTCACATGTTCATTGCTGCTGGAACAGATTTGGAAAAAAGAAATAAAAAAAAAATCACTGAAATCTTTTAGAGCCTGCATGAATAATTCTGCCTTTGAATATTTCTGATTTTCATTATTTCCTAATTATTTTGATGATATTCTTACTAGACCCAAACGTTCCCTGTATCAGTGACCCATTTTACTAGTGACATTTTAGCTTATGAATGTGATCAGGTAAGTCAGCCCATGTCAATTGTTATCTCGTATGCAGAACCTGATTTAGAACTTCAGAATCTCATTGTCAGATGAATTAATGAATAAAATACATTTCTGTCAGTTTCTAGTTAGGAAATTGGTGTTTTTTTCTATTTGTCTATGTGGGTTTTTTTCAACTAAGGCGAATTTTTGGACACATCCAGTCTCCAGCACACCTGCATTTGAGGGCTATCCAAACATTGAAGAATGAGAAGAACAGTTTCCTTCTCTCTGGTGCTATTTCCTTCCCCTGTCCAATGAATCTAGTAGAAGTCCCCATTGTGTGGAAATTTTAAAACACAGTTTTATGAAAACAACTCTGCTTAGAACAAAATTAGTGTTTCGATCAGTATTTCTTATTGCTTAAGTTGAGAGTATGGGGTATCAAGGGAAGTGCAGTGAATGGTGTAACATCCTCTTAGAGGCTACAACCCCAGGATGCCTTTGAGCTACAAAGAAATCAGTGAAAACTGAGGATGTGCTCCTCTGACAGTGGCTCCATCTCATAAATCCTGTGCGTTTTGTTCAGATTGACAATGGTTCGCAGTGGAAAAAGTGGTGGGCTCCACCTGAAGCAGATTGCATACTACAAGAGAACAGGGGAATATCATCCCACAACACTGTCAAGTGAAAGAAGTGGAATCAGGAGGGCAGCCAAAAAATTCATTTTTGAAGGTAAAAATATTCTCTCAGATTGCTCTGAAAATAGATATTTAGGTGAAGATTTGCTGATATGAGGAAAAAACAAAAGAAGTGGGATCTTGCTCTGCAGAGTTCTGTGATTTTTTTTTTTTAATATGTTCTCTATAAAACAAACGCTCTGCATATCCTGGTTAATGTATAACAGGATGTTTGTAAAAATGGAAGTTTGATCTCCTTCATTCCATTCCAAGAGGGATTTATGTATCTATCTGAAAGCCAAACCTTGTTCTACATACTCCAGAAATAGACAGCCATTGCAATCCATTATTCACAGGATTGCAGAAAGGGAAATCCAGATCTGCAGCTGTAGACAAGGAATGCTCCATCCTTTCTGGAGAATACTGTGTATGGCTGGGCAGAAGTGCAAGGACAACTTTGCCATCAGTCACCTGAGAACCTCTGTGCCCTTCCCAGCTTTGAGGCCCTGTGAGGAGATATGTGAGCCTCTGTAGTGTGCTGTGTTCTCTCAGTCCCATCAAACCTACCAATTCTATATAGAGGGAACGGAGGAGTTAAAGCTGTGACTTACAGTGTCAGGTTGCTGGCAGGCACACAGCAACTTCTCAAGCAGCAAAAACTCAGCACTCCTACCTCCCCTTTCCACCCTTGTGTTTCAGTCAGACTTTCTGTGGGATCACTGTTTGCATTCTGACCTGCCCTTGTAACTCCTCAAGTCTGCATCAATAAACAGAGGTGAACTGATGGCTCTTCGGAGGAAATAATTTAAATATTTGTAAACAAAAAACTACATTTACACTGAAGTGAATTGAAGTTACTGTAATCAGTTCTGTTCCGAATCATGCTCAGGAGTTT